TGCCCGTTATTTGAAGACGAGCGGAAAGACATGCGAGAAGCGCTTGCCAAGGCAGGCGTTGACACGTCTCTCTCGTTCAACCAGCTCATGCAGGAGCGAAGTGCGGTTCCAGCAATCTCCGCCTTTATGGAGAGAACTCGACTACTCGGGCAATTCCACAACGTTGATCAAGACGCCATGGGACTCGAACAGCAAGAACAACCAGTATGAATTATATCAAACAACTATCTCTTGGCAAACCGTATTCTTGCAATATCTCGCCAACCAGGGGTCCTAGGACTCTGAGCCCTAGTTCAAATTGTCTATTATTTCAACGGCTACCGTTTGATCCCGATTTTACGGGACATAATGGCAGCTGTTGGAATTCCGCGCCCGAACCGTGGTTCTGCACCTGCGGACCGCGGGGAAAGTCAAAATTTCGCAGTGCCAAGACCTACCAGAAACGCGACAAACAATAACAACAACCACGCCAAAATGGACCAGCTGATAGCTGCAGCGAACGCAGTTATTCGCCATATGGAGAATACCGGCCAGGATGAGCCTATCGTCACCCGGTTCGCCGTCACGGTCCGCCAGTTCGCCGAGCAGGCAAAGCAGAGGGTCAGCGCTCAAGGGGAGATGGCCAAGGTGATCTCCACTCTTGAAGCCATTGCCGCTGACACCCAGCGCTTGAACACTAGAATTGATAGCCTTGAGAAGTCAGCCAGCTCATCCATAACTTCCACTTCGACCCTGTCGTCCACAGACCGCTGGAAAGCCTTCCGGGCGGGTGCCTGGCGCAGCACGGCAGCTTCCGCCAATCCACCCATCAATCGCAGCGACGGCACGGCGTCGCCTGGTGTGAGCGAGGTCGAGCTCCGTGAAGACCGCTCTATAACGGTTAAGGTGGACCCGACGTGCCGGGATAAGGTGCGGCAAATGGAGGCAAAGACGATTGTGGACAGAGCCGAGCAGCTGCGGGAAAAGCAAGCCAGGAAGAGGATTTCGGCTGCGCTGGCTGGAAATGCGTACTTCTGCGCTGCCCGAGTGCTGCCGTCTGGTGACGTTTCGATGCTGGTCAACTCTGCTGCTGGTGCAGAGCTCCTCCGTCGTCACACGGACTGGGTGAGCCTGTTTGGCCGGGCAGCACGGATTCAGAGCCCATCCTGGGGCGTTGTGGTCCACGGTCTGCCAATCCGGAGCTTTAAGCTCACACCTGAATCGAGGGCAGGCTTGGTAAGCGAAATACAGCGGCAGAATGCGTTGAACTGGGGTGGAAAGGCGGAAATTGTGCATCTTGACTGGCTCACCCGCCCGCGTGAGAACCAGCGCGAGGCGTCTGTCGTCATGGAATTCGACAATCCGGCAGTTGCCAACCAGGCGATTGATCAGGGATTATACTGGAATTCGGAGGTCCATTCAGTCGTCTTCTTCTGCCGTGACGGCAGGGTGAAGCTGTGCCGTAAGTGCCAGAAACCCGGGCATGTGCAATCACACTGCCCAAATCGAAGCTTTGTATGCGGCCACTGCGCTGATGAGCACCCGACCTGGGAGTGCCCGTCCGCCAGTGGCAGCCCAATCCGTATCAAGTGTGCTAACTGTTCCGGCCCTCACCGGCCCACGAGCCTGGATTGTCCCGTTAAGCGGGAAGCCAAGGCAAAGGCTGAACAAATTAGGGCTGAATGCCCTCCATATCACCGTGTTCCACTGCATCTCCGAGCTCCACGTGAGCCAGCAGCTCCAGCAGCTCCAGCGCCAGCTCCAGCGCCAGCTCCAGCGCCAGCTCCACATCCAGCTGCCTCCATATTCAACTTTATGCAACCAACCGGGCTCGGCGAGTCAGTCCACGCGCCAGCGAGTCAACAAGCGAGCCAGCAAGCAACTCAACCAGCAAGACAGCCAGCCAGCCAACTAGCCAGCCAACCACGTGCTCGCGGACGACCCAAAGGCTCCAAGAACAAGTCCAAAACCTCCACTTTCAGCGATAAGAGCCTCCCAACTCAGCCTGAATTAACCGAGAACGCCCTTTCCATCACCAAGGTCGCCAGGAACTCCCGTTCGCAGCAGACCATGCTCCAGGACCCTATTTCCGACCCCGAGCGTCTCTTACAGCATAAAAAGCGCCGGTTTGAAGAGCCGCAAGACGTCATGGATGAGGACCAGGAGCTCCGAGCTCCATCCTCAGCCCCAGTTCCATCTCCAGCTCGTCCAGTCCTAGCTCGTCCAATTCAAGCCTCTCAAGCTCTTCTATCTGAATATGCGGAATTGAAGCAGAAATTTGGAATTCAAAGCAGCCCCGCACGCGAGCCTACACGGTTGAGACTCTTACCGCCGCATCCACCGGTGCCAGCGCCCACAGAGGAGACCTTACCGAGCCATGGCCTGCACTTCAGCGATATTATCGACGCTGACGCATATCACTTCGGCAGCACGCCTCCAGAGCCGGAGCCGGAAGATGAGTTCTTCCACGAGGCGTCAGAATATAGCGAACAAGACGACCACGACGAGACTATCTCATCTAATGAATAATCTCCAAATCATCCAATACAATGTGAACAAATCCCAGCCCGTGATGGCCTCGTTTCTCAGGGATCGACGCGTGTGGGAGGCCAGTCTGATAGCGGTGCAAGAGCCCTGGAAGAACACTTTCTCTAATACGACACACCAGCCAGTCTCCTCGCTATTCCAGCTTGTCTATCCCAGCACGAGCCCGGAGGAGCCTCCTGGTGTCTGTCTATATGTGTCAAAGAAACTAGACCCAAGAGAGTGGTCTTGCACGCTGGTGGACCGGGATTACCAAATTCTGAAGCTCCGGAAGGCCCATATAAACGGCAACTGGACTGATCTATTCGTGCACAATATCTACAATCGGCCCGGCTCCGGCATGCCGGACAAGCTGCGCCACGAGCTCGGTAAGCGGAAAGAGGGGGAGCATGTTATAATGGGCGACTTTAACGCCCATCACCCCGTCTGGGGGGGCCCTGGCGTTGCTACAGAGCCTGAATCGGAGGAATTCCTGCTGCTGGCGGACCAGTTCAAGCTAGATATGCTGACGGAATGTGGTAAGCCCACGTGGGAGCGTGGAGGTATGGAGACGGTGATAGACTTGACCTGGGTCAGCGAGGAACTAACCAGTCGACTGATTAATCATGGACGTGCGGACGATATTGAGCACCAATCTGACCATTTCCCCATTCGGACGACGCTGGATGTGACGACGCCGCTGTTTGAGCAGCCGCAACGTCGAAATTGGACCGTAATAGACGACAAAATCCTCACAGAATTCATCAACAAGCATATTCCGTCAGCACGCGATTTGTCAGCTGCTGGCAAGACCCGAATTGAGCTTGAGACTCAAGCCTTCATCCGAACTATTCAAGCGGCAGTGGAAGCCTCCACTCCATGGGCCAAGCCGTCTGAATGGGCGAATTCCGACTTCACCCCGGAGTGCCGCGAGGCGGTTAAGGCCGTTCGCTATCTCCGGAGGCGGTGGACCCACACACATGACCCGCTGGACGAGCTCCGTTATCACCAGGCCCGCAACGATAAGAACCGGCTAATCAAGAGCACGCTCAGCAAGGCCCACCGCAAGCGGGTGCAGAAGGTGGTCGAGGATGGTCCCCGGGGCATGTGGCGACTGGCCAAATGGGCCCGTAACCGCAGCGGCGTATATGAGCGTGGCCTAACGCCAACGTTACGTGCTCGTGATGGGTCAGCAGCCGAGTCTGTGGACCAGAAAGCTGCAGCTTTCCAACAAGCCTTCTTCCCGCAGCCGCCAGACGCGGATATGACGGATACACACGAATATATATATCCAGAAGACGTCAATTTTCCTGAAATTCAGCAGCATGAGATCATGGAAGTCATACGTGCGTCTCCAGCAGGCAAAGCGCCTGGAGAAGACGCAATTCCGAACTCGTTCTGGCACAAATTGGTCAAAATTCCAGCTATTCTCAGCACGTTGCACCAGCTATTTAACGCCTATATTCGAACTGGATACAATCCCACCCATTTCCAGCGCTCAATCACCGTCGTGCTCCGCAAGGCGGGTGACAGAGACTACCAGGAACCTAAATCCTACCGACCAGTTGCTCTTCTCAATACAATTGCCAAATTTCTCGAGTCCGTCGTCGCTAGGCGCATCTCATACGCCGTCGAGGAGCACGGACTGTTACCCAAAGGCCATCTCGGCGGCCGGCGGGGCATATCCACCGACCATGCTATCCAAATCATGCTAGATCGGGTCCGAAGTGCATGGGGGCGGGGCTCGATCGTATCCTTGCTTATGCTCGACGTTTCAGGCGCATACGACAACGTGTCTCATGACAGAATGATCCACAATCTCCACAAACGACGTCTCGGGCAGCTAGCGCCGTGGATACGCGCATTTCTGACTGATAGGAGCACCCGAATTCGTATGCCAGAGGGCACATCCAGGCGCATTCCCACGCCGACGGGTATTCCACAAGGCTCGCCGCTATCTCCAATTCTCTATCTCATCTACAACGCGGACTTGCTCGAAGACAGCCAGACACGGAGCGGAGACCTCTCTACAATGGGCTGGGTCGACGACGTGGGCTTCATGGCGACTGGTAAGACAGAGAAACAGACTATTTCAAAGCTCGAAAAAGCGTGTGAGAAAGCAGGGACTTGGGCCAGCCGACATGCGTCAGTTTTCGACCCGAAAAAGTACAATTTAATCCATTTTGTGCCGCCAGGACGGAGGCAGGAAGGTCGCCTACTTCTCGTCAAAGGTCAAGACGGGCTCACCTCAATCATTGCACCTGAGCATGCAGCAGCGAAATACCTCGGCTTCTGGCTTGATCCGCAACTCACATTCACACGCCATCATGACAAGGCAATCATCAAAGGCAGCACGTCTCTACAAGCTCTACGGAGCCTTGCTGGCTCCACGTGGGGTGCGTCTACGTCAGCAATGCGGCGGATATATCAGGCAGTCGTGGTGCCGCAGCTGCTCTATGGGGTGTCAGCGTGGTATCCATGGCACGAGAAAGGGAAGTGTAAGCATATCAGCAGCAAATTCGCCGCAATCCAGAAGCGTGCGGCATGCCTCATCGGTGGAGCATTCAAGACAAGCTCCGCAGAAGCACTCAATATTGAGCTTCACCTTCCGCCAATCGGTATTCAGATGGAGCGCATCTCCGCGGAGACAGCCCTCAGAATTCGAACAGGTCCAGCACATGGAATTCCACAGCTCATGATCCGTCAGCGCCCGCAGCAGCAGCGTCAGCGAGGTGGATGGTCGCCGATGGAGGCACATGCGTGGATGAAGGGCGGATGCTTAACGGCTCCCCCGGGAGCTGTGGCAGGCGCATGGGAGAGTCGGTGGGCATACGTCCGAGCGCCGTGGCAGGTGCCTCCGGACGTGCATATCCTGGAGCGTGACGAGGCGGTGAAGGCGCACACTAAGATTGGTAAGAAAGGTGAGAAACTAATCATTTACACGGACGGAAGTGGAATAGATGGGAAAGTGGGTGCAGCAGCAGTGGTTGACACCACGCATGAGCACCGCCATTGCCAGATGGGCACGGAACAGTACTCAACTGTCTATTCCGCGGAGCTTAGGGCAATAGAGATGGCGCTAGAATTGGTGCAACCAGAACGAGCCAGGGCTGGCGTCGTGGTATTCTCTGATAGCCAGGCTGCTCTCCAAGCACTTGTCCGACCGCGTATGCCGTCGGGCCAGGTGTATCTCCGTGGCTGCGTCCAGAGCCTCCAGCATCTCAACAACCAGGGTATCCACGTCGAATTCCGGTGGATTCCAGCCCACCAGGGTATTCCAGGCAACGAGCTCGTCGACGAACACGCAAAACAGGCAGCCAAGGCGGAGACAGCAGGCCCATATGACCGCCATATCAAGCTTGCCGCTGCGGCAAAACGTGGAATTCGCGACCAGGCGAAATTCGCGTGGGAGGCAGCGTGGGAGAGGGAGAAGAGGGTAGGAAGTGCGACGAAGCGGCTCGTTCCAGTGCCGACGAAGAAAGTGCTTGATTACTGGAAAGGTCAGAGAAAGGCGTCAGCGTCCATCATGCTCCAAATGCGACTCAATATCATTGGATTGAAACGTTACCTTTGGCGAATTGGAGTTGAAGACTCACCCAGGTGCAGTTGCGACCTCGGACAGCAGCAGCCAAGGCACGTACTGCTGGAGTGCCCTATCTTCGAGGATGAACGAAGGGAAATGCGAGATAAGCTTACCAAGGCAGGCGTGGACGCATATCTCTCATTCAACCAGCTCATGACGGAGAAAAATGCGGTTCCGGCAATCTCCGCATTCATGGAGAAGACCCGTCTGCTCGGGCAATTCCACAACGTCGACCAAGACGCCATGGGATTTGAGCCTGATCCAGAGCAGCCTGATCCAGGGCAGCCAGAACGGCAAGAACAACCAGTATGACATCAATCAGGGCAGTGTGGTGGTGGTAGATGAAACGTGGATCGCAGGAAGATGGGCCAGGTCCCCCTCTTCCCTCGAGAGGCAGAATTGCGCAGCAGCGGCTGACCGGCCGGGGAAATGGTCATGTATCCGGGGATGGCATGTCGGAGTGAGGCGGAAGTGAGGCGAAAGTGAGGGCAAAGTGAGGTGGAAGTGAGAGAATTGAGGACATGGTGGTGCGAGGGAGATGGAAGGAGGACTTGGTGGTGCGAGTGGGAAGTGGGAATTGCGAGTTGCGGAGATGCGGAGGTGCGGCGGGTGATTCTGCCGTGCCAGGCCGCCTCCATTTTTTGTATTTACTTCTTGGCGGGCAATTGCGGGCAGAATGGGCCGACCGCCGGGCATACCGCCAGCGGGAAGCCCTAACTTCCGCCTCATCCACGTCCGCCTGGGTGCAGGCACCATTTCGCTGCCGGGCAGGCCCGGGAGCACCCCCGCATAGCGGCCATTACTAGAGGCAAGCTAGATCAGGTCAATGAATACTACTACTACTACTACTACTTACTAGAGGCAAGCTAGATCGGGTCAATGAATACTACTACTACTACTACTACTCCATAAACGACGTCTCGGACAGCTCGCACCATGGATCCGGGCCTTTCTTACCGGCAGAAGCACCCGAATTCGCATGCCAGAGGGCGTCTCAGCACGAATTCCGACCCCCACAGGTATTCCGCAAGGCTCGCCGTTATCTCCAATTCTCTATCTTATCTACAACGCGGACTTGCTCGAAGACAGCCAGACACGGAGTGGAGACCTCTCTACAATGGGATGGGTCGACGACGTGGGCTTCATGGCAACCGGAAAGACAGAAAAACAGACGATTTCCAAGCTCGAAAAAGCGTGTGAAAAAGCAGGAATTTGGGCCAGCCGACATGCGTCAGTTTTCGACCCGAAAAAGTACAATTTAATCCATTTTGTGCCGCCAGGACGGAGGCAGGAAGGTCGCCTACTTCTCGTCAAAGGTCAAGACGGGCTCACCTCAATCATTGCACCTGAGCATGCAGCAGCGAAATACCTCGGCTTCTGGCTTGATCCGCAACTCACATTCACACACCATCATGACAAGGCAATCATCAAAGGCAGCACGTCTCTACAAGCTCTACGGAGCCTTGCTGGCTCCACGTGGGGTGCGTCTACGTCAGCAATGCGGCGGATATATCAGGCAGTCGTGGTGCCGCAGCTGCTCTATGGGGTGTCAGCGTGGTATCCATGGCACGAGAAAGGGAAGTGTAAGCATATCAGCAGCAAATTCGCCGCAATCCAGAAGCGTGCGGCATGCCTCATCGGTGGAGCATTCAAGACAAGCTCCGCAGAAGCACTCAATATTGAGCTTCACCTTCCGCCAATCGGTATTCAGATGGAGCGCATCTCCGCGGAGACAGCCCTCAGAATTCGAACAGGTCCAGCACATGGAATTCCACAGCTCATGATCCGTCAGCGCCCGCAGCAGCAGCGTCAGCGAGGTGGATGGTCGCCGATGGAGCCACATGCGTGGATGAAGGGCGGATGCTTAACGGCTCCCCCGGGAGCTGTGGCAGGCGCATGGGAGAGTCGGTGGGCATACGTCCGGGCACCATGGCATACACCTCCAGAGGTGGCTATCCAGGGGCGTGACGAGGCAATCAAGACACATACTGAAATAAGCAAGAAAGGTGAGAAATTGATCATATACACGGATGGAAGCGGAATTGAAGGGAGGATTGGTGCTGCGGCGGTCGTCAGCGCCACACATGAGCACCGCCATTGCCAGATGGGTACGGAACAGGACTCAACTGTCTATTCCGCGGAGCTCAGGGCAATGGAGATGGCGCTCGAAATGGTGCAGGAGCTCCAAGACGACCGCATGCAGCAAGGCGTGGTGGTATTTTCTGACAGCCAGGCTGCCCTCCAAGCGCTCGTCCGACCGCGTATGCCGTCTGGCCAGGTGTATCTCCGCGGCTGCGTCAGGAGCCTTCAAGATCTCAACAACCAAGGTATCCACGTCGAATTCCGGTGGATTCCAGCTCATCAAGGAATTCCGGGCAACGAGCTCGTTGACGAGCACGCCAAGCAGGCAGCCAAGGCAGAATCAGGCCCGCATGACCGCCATATCAAGCTCGCCGCTGCAGCAAAGCGGGGCATTCGCGACCGGGCGAAATTCGCGTGGGAGGCAGCGTGGGAGAGGGAGAAGGTAGGAATTGCGACGAAGCGGCTCATTCCGGTGCCGACGAAGAAGGTGCTCGACTACTGGAAAGGTCAAAGGAAAGCGTCGGCGTCCATCATGCTCCAAATGAGGCTCAACATCATCGGATTGAAGCGTTACCTCTGGCGAATTGGAGTCGAAGACTCGCCTAGGTGCACATGCGACCTCGGACAGCAGCAGCCAAGGCACGTGCTGCTGGAGTGCCCTATTTTCGAGGATGAACGAAGGGAAATGCGGGATAAGCTTGCCAAGGCAAGCGTTGACGCATATCTCTCATTCACCCAGCTCATGACTGAGAAAAACGCGGTTCCGGCAATCTCCGCATTCATGGAGAGGACCCGTCTGCTCGGGCAATTCCATAACGTCGACCAAGACGCTATGGGATTTGAGCCTGATCCAGAGCAGCCAGAGCAGCCAGAGCAGCCAGAACAGCAAGAACAACCAGTACGATATCAATCAGGGCAGTGTGGTGGTGGTAGATGAAACGTGGATCGCAGGAAGATGGGCCAGGTCCCCCTCTTCCCTCGAGAGGCAGAATTGCGCAGCAGCGGCTGACCGGCCGAGAATGGTCATGTATCCGGGGAAGACGTGTTGTGAGGTGGAGGTGAGGGCAAAGTGAGGGATAAGTGAGGGCAGAGTGAGAGAATTGAGGACATGGTGGTGCGAGGGAGCTGGAATGAGGACTTGGTGCGAGTGGGAAGTGGGAGTTGCGGAGATGCGGAGGTGCGGCGGGTGATTCTGCCGTGCCAGGCCGCCTCCATTTTTGTATTTACTTCTTGGCGGCGAATTGCGGGCAGAACGGGCCACCGCTGGGCATACCGCCAGCGGGAAGCCCTAACTTCCGCCTCATTTTCACGTCCGCCCAGGTGCAGGGCACCATTTCGCTGCCGGGCAGGCCCGGGAGCACCCCCGCATAGCGGCCATTACTAGAGGCAAGCTAGATCGGGTCAATGAATACTACTACTACTACTACTAGTCTCGTCGTGGTCGTCTTGTTCGCTGTATTCTGAGGCTTCATGGAAGAACTCATCTTCCGGCTCTGGCTCTGGAGGCGTGCTGCCGAAGTGATATGCGTCAGCGTCGATAATATCGCTGAAGTGCAGGCCATGGCTCGGTAAGGTCTCTTCTGTGGGCGCTGGCGCCGGTGGATGCGGCGGTAAGAGTCTCAACCGTGTAGGCTCGCGTGCGGGGCTGCTTTGAATTCCAAATTTCTGCTTCAATTCCGCATATTCAGATAGAAGAGCTTGAGAGGTATGAATTGGACGAGCTGGAGCTGGACGAGCGGGAGCTGGGCGAGCTAGGATTGGACGGGCTGGAGATGGAACTGGAGATGGAGCTCGGAGCTCTTGGTCTTCGTCCATAACGTCCTGGGGCGCCTCAAGGCGGCGTTTTTTGTGCTGCAAGAGACGTTCTGGGTCGGAAATAGGGTCCTGGAGCATGGTCTGCTGCGAACGGGAGTTCCTGGCGACCTTGGTGATGGAAAGCGCGTTCTCGGTTAATTCAGGCTGAGTTGGGAGGCTCTTGTCGCTGAAAGTGGAGGTTTTGGACTTGTTTTTGGAGCCTTTGGGTCGTCCGCGAGCACGTGGTTGGCTGGCTGGTTGAGGCGCTGGTTGGGTGGCTGGTTGTCTGGCTGGCTGACTCGCTGGCTGACTCGCTGGCGCGTGGACTGACTCGCCGAGCCCAGTTGGTTGCATAAAGTTGAATATAGAGGCTGCTGGGGGTGGAGGTGGAGCTGCTGGAGCTGCTGGCTCACGTGGAGCTCGGAGATGCAGTGGAACACGGTGATATGGAGGGCATTCAGCCCTAATCCGTTCAGCCTTAGCCTTGGCTTCCCGCTTGACGGGACAGTCCAGGCTCGTGGGCCGATGAGAGCCGGAACAGTTAGCACACTTGATACGGATTAGGCTGCCACTGGCTGACGGACACTCCCAGGTCGGGTGCTCGTCAGCGCAGTGACCGCATACAAAGCTTCGATTTGGGCAGTGGTATTGTACATGTCCTGGTTTTTGACACTTGCGGCATAGCTTCACCCTACCGTCACGACAGAAGAAGACGACGGAATGAACCTCCGAATTCCAGTATAAACCTTGATCAATCGCTTGATTGGCAACTGCCGGATTGTCGAATTCCATGACGACAGACGCTTCACGCTGGTTCTCACGCGGGCGGGTAAGCCAATCTAGGTGCATAATTTCCGCCTTTCCACCCCAGTTCAACGCATTCTGCCGCTGAATTTCGCTTACCAAGCCTGCCCTTGATTCAGGTGTGAGCTTGAAGCTCCGGATTGGAAGACCGTGGACCACAACGCCCCAGGATGGGCTCTGAATCCGTGCTACCCGGCCAAACAGGCTCACCCAGTCCGTGTGACGACGGAGGAGCTCTGCACCAGCAGCAGAATTGACCAGCATCGAAACGTCACCAGACGGCAGCACTCGGGCAGCGCAGAAGTACGCATTTCCAGCCAGCGCAGCCGAAATCCTCTTCCTGGCTTGCTTTTCCCGCAGCTGCTCGGCTCTGTCCACAATCGTCTTTGCCTCCATTTGCCGCACCTTATCCCGGCACGTCGGGTCCACCTTAACCGTTATGGAGCGGTCCTCACGGAGCTCGACCTCGGTCACACCCGGCGACGCCGTGCCGTCGCTGCGATTAATGGGGGGATCGGCCGGAGTCGTGCGCCAGGCACCCGCCCGGAAGGCTTTCCAGCGGTCTGTGGACGACAGGGTCGAAGTGGATGTTACAGACGAGCTAGCTGACTTCTCAAGGCTATCAATTCTAGTATTCAAGCGTTGGGTGTCAGCGGCAATGGCTTCAAGAGTGGAGATCACCGTGGCCATCTCTCCCTGAGCGCCGCTGCTACCCTTCTTTGCCTCCTCGGCGAATTGGCGGACGGTGATGGCGAACCGCGTCACGATGGGCTCATCTTGACCAGTATTCTCCATATGGCGAATAACCGCGTTCGCCGCAGCTATCAGCTGGTCCATTTTAGCGTGTTTGTTGTTGACGGTGTTTTTGGTAGGTCTTGGCACTGCGAAATTTTGATTTTCCCCGCGGTCCGCAGGTGCAGAACCACGGTTCGGGCGCGGAATTCCAACAGCTGCCATTTTGCCCCGTAAATTCGGGATCAAATGGTAGCCGCTGAAGTAATGAGTATTTTGAACTAGGGCTCAGAGTCCTAGGACCCCTGGTTGGCGAGATATTGCAAGAATACGTTTTTGCCAAGAGATAGTTGTTCTCTGTTACGACACGTCTTTACCTCTATTCTATTGTATCTCTGTCTGGGAATCATCGTACAAGCTGCTCAAGTTAAAATGAATGTAGGAAATGTACTAGGACCTGAAATAAAATAAACATTCAACAAAGGGGAGGGACAGGACTCTTCTTTGCAAGCACGAGAAACATCACAAGACCTGAAGAACAAGCGATGGCCAATTTGTTTGCGGAAATAGCCAAGAAGGAAGAAGTAGTTGGTCGATATTCGGCAGGCAACCAAAGGAGGTTGACTCCATCATAGGTTATCCAGGAATGATCACCATTTAAACCATACCCATATTGATCTGGCAAGGTCGAAGTATTATGAACCGACATGATGGTACCAGTGAGACTTATATCAAATGTACCGACTGAAGTATGCAGATGACAAAATTTGCTTTTATCAAATTGAATGAAGTAGGGGGAGCTGATGTGCAGTATTGATTCGCATTGACTGGTGGTCAAGTCCCAGATCCTGACAGTGTCATCAAAAGATGCCGATGCGAGTCGGCTTCCATCTCGCGACCAGGCGATCGAGTGGACCGAACCACTATGTCCCTCAAGGATTAACGCACACTCCCCGGTGGCTAGATCCCAAATCCTGATAGTCTTGTCATCTGACCCTGATGCAAGTCGGCCTTGATCTTGCGACCAGATAACTGAGCGGACGAAATTGCTATGCCCCTCAAGGTTTAACGCGCACTGGCCGGTGGTCAAATCCCAGATCCTGACAGTGTCATCAAAAGATGCCGATGCGAGTCGGCTTCCATCTCGCGACCAGGCGATCGAGTGGACCGAACCACTATGTCCCTCAAGGATTAACGCACACTCCCCGGTGGCTAGATCCCAAATCCTGATAGTCTTGTCATCTGACCCTGATGCAAGTCGGCCTTGATCTTGCGACCAGGCAATCGAGTGGACTTCACCGCTATGCCCCTCAAGGTTAAACGCGCACTGGCCCGTGGTCAGATCCCAGATTCTGACGGTCTTATCATAGGACGCTGATGCAAGTCGGCTTCCATCTTGTAACCAGGAAATCGACGTGACCAAATGATTATGTCCCTTAAGGGTTGACGCGCATCGGCCGGTGGCAGGATCCCAGATTCTGACGGTATTATCATCTGACACTGATGCGAGTTGGCTTCCATCTTGGGACCAGGTAATCGAGTAGACCGAACTACTATGCCTTTTGAGGGTTGATGTGCACTGGCCAGCGGCTGGGTCCCATATCCTGATAGTCTTATCACTGGACGCTGTTGCAAGTTGGCTTCTATCTGGTGACCAGGCGACCGAGTGGACTGAGTCGCTATGTCCCTTGAGGATTGACGCGCACTGGCCAGTGGCTAGATCCCAGATCCTGACGGTGCTATCATCTGACGCTGATGCAAGACGGCTTTCATCTTGCAACCAGGCAATAGAGGTGACCGAACGGCCATGTCCCTTAAGGGTCGACATACACTGGCCGGTAGCCGGATCCCACATCCTAACGGTGTTATCCTTGGACGCTGATGCGAGTCGGCTTCCATTATGGGACCAGGTGATTGAGGTGACCGAATGGCTATGCCCTTCAAGAGTTGAAGTATACCGGCCTGTTGTTAGATCCCAGATAATAATAGTCTTGTCACTAGACGCCGATGCGAGTTGGCCTCCATCTGGTGACCAGGCAACCGAGTGAACCAAGTCGCTATGCCCCTCTAGGGTTAACGCGCACTGGCCGGTGTCCAGATCCCAAATTTTGACGGTCGTATCATAGGATGCTGATGCAAGTTGGCTTTCATCTTGCGACCAGGTAATTAAGGTGACCGAACGGCTATGCCCCTCTAGGGTTGATGCACACTGACTATTAGCCGTATCCCAGATTTTAATGGTACCATCCCAGGACGCTGATGCTAGTCGTCTTCCATCGTGCGACCAGACGATCGAGGCGATCAAATCGCTATGCGCCTTAAGGGTTGACGTGCACTGGCCGGTGTCCAGATCCCAGATTTTAACGGTGTCATCCCAGGACCCTGATGCGAGTAGGCTTCCGTCTGGCGACCAGGCAATTGAGGTGATCAAACCCCTATGACCCTCAAAGGTTGACGCGCACTGGCCAGTGGCCGGATTCCAGATCCTAATAGTTGTATCCCTGGATGCTGATGCGAGTCGGCTTCCGTCTGGCGACCAGGCAATCGAGCGAACCGAGTCGCTATGGCCCTCTAGTGTTTGAAGACATGCACTCCAATCTTTGTCTAGTAATGGCTCATTGACAATCCAATCCGGTCTCTCCTTTTGATAGCATATTCTAGTTATGCTCAACATAGGGCTAAATATGAGAGATGAACTGTATACTTGAAGAGGACTACTTTCAATTGCTGGCCTGTGGTATCGAACGAATCGGGAGGCGTCTTGAACTCGATTTATAAGCCTAGGTGATTGTTCTTTTTCCTAAGATAGTAGTTCCTATGTTAGAAATAAAGGTATTATAAATATAAGCGATCAGTTACCTGAAGTAAGACTTCGAGCTTAAGAATAGCTGCTATACCTTGTGATAGGCTTCCTAGAATGCTCAAGGCTTCCAGCCAGTGAAGGTATTTCTTCTCTAGAAACGTACCCACATACCCTCGCTTGTCGACATTAATACCATCGTTATCATAGCAGCCGCTATGTTGAAGATGGTCAACCCAGTAGACACATGCATATTTCACAGCCGCCAATGGATTCGGACTGGGTGGGATGACTTTCTCAATTAAAAATCCAGGATACCTAAGTTGAAAGATATCACGCCGAAGTGTCTTAAACAAGGCCTCTAGACAACGAGAGAACATTGTATTGTGTTCAGCTTCAATACCTCCAGGAAAAATCGTGTTTTGCGTCTCTGTAAGCAGAAATTCTTTTGCAGACTGATGGACGAAAATAATAGTGTCTTCGCGTACAGTCAAAAAAGAGCCACAAATCGCGATAACCTCTAATAAGGCTTCGGAGTCACCAGATAGATCATTAGGTAGCTCAACAAGAGAGACTAGTTCGTCAAACGTGATAGGCCGATACACGGTAGACATAACAGCCAGTATTCGTTTACAGAGCTCAGCATCTTCCGAGTGGCAAACCTGATCGATCATCCGACCGTACAAGGCGTTCAGTCCAGGAGGAAACGTTTCCAGCTTTGTAAGAGCGTGTCTCCGCGATGTTCTATCAAGATCTTGACAGACTAATGCCACCCAAAGGAAAGTGTCCTGCGATTTTGATAATAATAAGTGGTGAATTATATCTCGAGTCTCATCGCTATACTTTTTAACTCTCGCCAAATGGCGAACCTTGTGTTGAATGAATTTCCTCACGGCTTCTGATATACACGCCTCATTCAGCTCTAATGAGATTTGTGTGGCATGGGTAGTGTCAAGACGCTCTTCGATATCAGGCCAATTACGGCTTGAGACAATCCACTTGACCTGTGGAAAAGTAGACGAGACTCGAGTTATCAAGTCAAGAAGGGAAGGTAGGCCAGCTTTGCATTCATCTAGCGCATCGATAATCAAATATGTGGTCCGTAAGGTCGGGTCTTTCAATATATCCATGAAGATCCCCAAGAGGGCATTCCATGCGTTTATGTCCTCGAACAGTGCTTTTCCGGCGTGGTCATGTTGATGCTGTATATAGGAGAGAAGAGATGGCTGCTTCTTGACAAGCAAGTATATTAAGCCACGGAGAACAGCCGTGGCATTATTGATCCGCACGTCGGTAGCTTGGCAAAAAAAGAACGATATATTCGCAGTACCCTCAGATGTTCGTTGTAGCTCATCGATGATACCACACAGGAGCATTGTCTTGCCTTTGCCCGGATCACCCCTGATCCAGAGGAGACAGTTGCACTGGTTATTTTGCCATTGCTGAAACTCCTCGCTATCGAAAATCCAGTATGAGACTTTGAGCAGGCCTCCGCTGGTGTTCTGAATACGATCTTTGTCATGGTGAGGATCAGTGGTCCGCAGATCCCGCAGGCACGCCTGATTCAATGATGCTTCAGATTGTACTTAGTTAGGCATTCACACCGATTAGTCACGCTCTTTCAGAGTTTTGAGGCCCACTCACGGAACTGATTGGTGATATGACCGAGGTTCTGCCCAACTTGGAAACCAGAGTTTGGACCGTCATATGATGTCGTATATGCCATTATTGCATCAGGTGAGTGTGCTTTTAAAAGGGATGTTTGCAAGCATACGGCTGACACGTCAAGGTACCCCGCTGTCAGGTGATCTACTAAGCGGCACTAGGAAGAAAGACGGGTTGTTTGGGACCAGCTTCTCCATCTTTTGGAAACGAAATAGTTGTGTGTATTTTTCTTCATTGGGGTATCTGTGGATTTTCAGCATTGTCTACCTTAGAAAAAAGATGGAATACTATCAATATTGCAGTGGTGCGACGAGCATCGAGAAATGCGATATCAATCTTACGGCTATTTCCAATAGATTACATAGTATCTCATCATCTGGTTTGACCTTACAATACGTTTCGATTGTTTGGAGTTGGCTAGCCCAGGAATGGACTAGTGTGTCTCAAATGGAACACTTTGCCATCCATCGACTTGCTCTGCAATACCTAGTCACTGTATACATGCTCTTCCAACCCAAGGTTTCCACGAGTAGAATATACGAGCAGATATAAGGGCAAACCAAATAAGACACATTAGGTCCCCAGGACACGATCGAATTTCCGTCAGCAACGGTTGCTAGAACACAATGAGGAAAGAATTCCAATTTTCTTCAGAGATAACTCACTTCTTCAACTCCTCAAATGAGCTGGCCGAAGTGGTGGCGGAGAGGAACTCGATGACAGCGGGGCAAATTCTCCAGCGTTCAGGATTGTCAATTACCGACGGCCCCGTCGTCCTTGACGTATTTCTGCATCAGCTCCATCATTATCCTTGAAATAGGAGCCAGATCACTGGTTCAGATTTTATCTGCTGGTCGGATGACACAACACTCGATCTGCTTACCGATCCTAAGCTCCCCACTAAGGCTTATAAGAACACTGGAACAATCCAAGTATGTATGACGAAAGCCTTGAGCGACCAGGTATGATACCCCGTTGAGCAACTGGGCATGTTTAGCCATTCGGTAGGCGTGAGTAAAATGGGAAAACAAACCTGAGACATCAAGGAAGCCAATTGATTTGGTTTGGGGTATTGCTTGCAAGCTACGATATGATCCAGCGTGAGTGGATCAAACTCGCTAGTAGTATACAAGGCATCTGCAGTCCGAAAACATTCTTGTACGGAGGCCACATTATCATGTTTCATGGAACGAAAAATATGCAAGACGCGGTCAGCCTCCTTGGGAGTGAATTGACGGATTGCGCGTATGACGCGCTTTCCTTTAGAGCGCAAACATACCGCAACAGTGCCGGCTAGATCACATTCGTAACCTTTCTCGAAAGTGTCCCATGGAGACTCGTGTCGTTGAATTATGTCCGGGCTGGTGTCATTCTCCAGTTTACTTGTATCTTGAGTTTCTTGAAGAGCCGGGAGGCGTGGCGAGCGTCTAGTGGCCGTCTTGTGGGCATCTAAAAGTGAGGGCGTTGTGGGCCTCTTTGTTGAGCGAGTGGCGGACTGAAGAGGCCCTGGCTTCAACTTAGACTCAAGTGGTGGTGCTGTGTCTCCTTGACCTTCGAGTAAAGATTTCTGCACGAGGGCAACCTGGTAAAGTTGAACTCTTGTGACTCGCTTCTCCTTATCTGACTTCATGACGGCTTTGCTGAATGTGTAAATTGAATGTGGCTTCTACAAAAGATACAAGGGAAATACGAGAATAGTGTGGATTTAAATGGGCCCTAACTTGTACAGTGGGCCGCTGCGGGTGGAGTCGAAAACAACCTATAAATTTCAATGGTACGCTTCACTCACCTCACTCTGGTGGGCATTTTCCTCTGCTTCCATGTGTATTCCTCAATGTCTCGGGCTTTGTTTTCCGAAGAAGAGGTGCGTCTGGCCACCGAGCGGCGCGTAAAGTATATTGGAGCAGCCAAAGTCAGCATCAGTCAAATTCAGTTCGAACCGCCTTTGCCTCGGGATCTGGATCCCAAAAACCTGGACCGGCTTCGGAATGTTTTCCGTAAAAACAGCTGTCGTCGACTGGATGTCAGCAATCATGTCCCTGCAGTCGTGTCGCAGCAAGATCTGACCAACGCGTTGCGGAAGGCGAACGTTACATGTTAAGGTAAGGTTGTTGACTAGGCAAGGTTCAAGATGTCACATGTAATTCAACTGTAGAATAGACAGAGACTAATCCTTAAGGAATCAACTAATTCCTCAAGTGTGCTGGATATATACATGATGGGGTAGAACCCTGATTAAGCGAGTCATGCAGGTGCTTTTCGGGGGTAGATCGGGCATGATTAGGTAGCGTCTCGGCCTATCCTGATATCATGCCCTAACAACGAGGTTACGCCGTAACAATCTCTTCGCAATTGGGACAATTCTTGCCCCAGAGAATAAGCTTGAATTCTTCTCAGGAACAGACTGGGCAGATAACAATTATAAATGGCGGGAAAAATATGAGAACTCTTTACGGCGATACCTTCTCAACTACCAACAGCAGCTAGCCTCTCCACCTTTACCAGTGACTGCCGTTAGCCAGACGACTAGTCAGTTTAGGGGATCATTCAGTGACTCTCAGCCTCAGCAAGCTAAGAAGCTAAGCACTAATAATGAGCTTACAACCTACCTTAATCTTGGTATTTTACCTATTTTCCTGATTTACTAGCTCGTCCTTAGTCTAATCTTCATATAGGACAACAGACTGAACAAGATCCCTATACGTACTGGCGAGACCAGCAGCGTCAATTCCCAACTCTTGCGCGGCTAGCACGAGATGTCTTCTCTATTCCAGCAACTGGAGCCGGTGTAGAACGTCTTTTTAACTCTGCCCGAGATATATGCCACTACCGGCATGGGTCTCTTTCACCATCGACAATTCAAGCCTTAATGCTATTTCGGTGTACGTCAAATTTCGAAGTTGAGCAAGATGAGCTTGATTCATATGAGCAAGTCTATACTCGTGAAGAACTTGATGAGATCGAAGAGAGGCGTGAAGCTGCCTTTCTTAAGCTTGATGGGATTAATCCAATTAGTGACGACGAAGAGGAAGACTTACCTAGTCAGTCACAACGTCCTATCCAGCGATCAAAGCAACGACCAAGCCAGCGATCAAAGCAGCGATCAAGCCAACAACCTCTTAGAAAGAGACGGAAACGTAGCCGATCACTTTACTCCATTCCAGACGATGAAAATGACGAAGAGAATCCTACGATCTCTCTACCAGGTCTTCCAGATCCAGATCCAGGTCTAGATCCAGATCTAGATCCATATCTACATCAACCTCCAGCTTCATCTTCTTCTCCATCTCTAGAACCTCTAGAGCCTTCACAACCCGGACCTTCACAAGGTAGTGAGCTAGAGCTAGATCTTCCACCGCAAAAAGGAGAGGCAACCCAGTCCCGGATGTCAACGAGATTCCAAGGTGAAAAGCGCCCAAGACGAGAGGATTCTATGTTCGTCAGTAACTATTGAATTTTTTTTTTTTTCGGCCGAAATACTCCATGTACTTAGTTCTATATCATTTTTGTTACGGCGCAACCTCGTTGTAGGGCATGATATCAGGATAGGCCGAGACGCTACCTAATCATGCCCGATCTACCCCCGAAAAGCACCTGCATGACTCGCTTAATCAGGGTTCTACCCCATCATGTATATATCCAGCACACTTGAGGAATTAGTTGATTCCTCAAGGATTAGTCTCTGTCTATTCTACAGTTGAATTACATGTGACATCTTGAACCTTGCCTAGTCAACAACCTTACCTTAACAATTTTATTCAGTTTTAAATTGATTTATGTCATAAAAGCACCATAAATTCAAAGTAATATAGGACTTGAAATTAAAATTGAAATTAGACAGAACCAAGATTAGTACAATAAATTATACGTAAGTGAAATACAACCAAAAAAACCAAGAATCTACATAAATAATGCACGTCCAAAAAGGGTAACTGTTTGCACTGTTTACAGGCCCATGGGTATTCCCATTTCCCAAGGTGGGCGGGATATACCCTCCTAGTCTGTTACGACACGTCTATAGAAGAGCCATACAAGAGGCAGAGAACTGGAGTATAAGCACATGAGAACACTTCTATATGCTACTACCAGCTGGGGATGCTGGAGAAAGGTTATTCCGATATGTTCGGGTAACTGATTAGATAAGCCGCACAACAGAAGTAGGCTCACGGGAGAGATCCAGGGGAGCTCTCCAGTGATTATATTATCAATATGACAACAGCACTATATGTGCTGCAGCTCGTGTCATCACTCGTATCCAATCCAACCGCATAAGGCCCATGCCTTAACATTATAACTCTATTTTATATTTTAGATAAAATCCCCTACTACGAGAGGTATACTTAGTCTCTTATCCCTTGATATAGATCCTAAGTATAGCTTAACTAGGCGCACTATCTAGCATAGACTAATAAACACCAACAATTCCCGAATCGGTAGGCGCCGTGACACTGGTGCGTGGTTCATCAGTGGTTTTTCCCGGAGCAAAAACTCCGGAAACTCGATAAAGGCAGTTGTGATTTTCATGTGTAGTTTGTAAACAAAGCACCTGTCCTCCTGAGTTCTGCATGAGCATCTGACGCTCCACAACGGTTATCTTCATTATCTTCATCGTGGGTCGATCGGCTCGGGAAATATTCGCACGTGTAGCGTTGCTTTGTTCTATGGACTCGGAGGAACTGTTGTTTTAACGAAAAAAAGGTGGTTTGGGGGCTGCAACGTAGTAAAGTTGATACCGTTTTGACGGCAACGCTTGGAAAGCTGCCTCCAGAGTGATCTCGTCATTTGAATGCATCTTTCATGATGAATTTCTGAAAACTGTATGTCTTGTGTCTTGCCCGGAGATCCTTGTTCTGGAACGTGTGATGTAGATTCCAGGCAAGACGGGCAACTCAGCGTAAAAGCCACTTAATGCCCCGTTCAGCTTCATCTTCAGTTCAATTGTCGTTGGACGGTGCGAATGGCGTCGGGATCGGGAAAGACAGTCTTTGTGCACTTCAGAGTCTCATCCACTGTCGGGTAGAGCCCCTTTGCCTCGCCATCCAGTACCCAACCGTGACATTCGTCATCAGGGGAGCCTCCGAGAGCTTTCGAGTTTTGCTGCCAGATTAGAAGGTGCCGAAGGGAGGAAGGGATCGCGACATGGAGAGGTGTTGACGAATTTGGCCCTACATGTGCTGGTCGTATGCTCAAGTTATGCGACTGCTTACAAACGGTTGGGAGATCGCGGGATCACGGTCGGCTTTCCTCAAATGACTGATTGTTCCCGTGTTCTGATGCATTTTTTGTTTGCGCCAAGTTGCGCCTTCTGGAGTTCTAGCTGAGATCGGCTCCTGAGTCGAGTCTTGATAGCTATGAATTCTCGTAAGCCGTTCGGACGTGAAAGGTACCCTGACTCCTGAGAAACCTGCGTAAGGGCAGTGAGACCGACCTCACGCGCCTAGATCGACCAGCGCGAGTGCACTGTCATCAGAAACAAAGGCTTCCCTTTCCCTGCAAGTTGTAAAGTCGACATGTTCGGTCTCGGCAAGTGGAGTTTGATTCGAGTTCGTGATTCGTTTGGGCTCGGTTCGTTTCGGACTGTGATTGGATTGTTTCAATGTGTCAGGACTGAGAATGCAGATCAGGGGGAAACGAAAGGGCGAAGAGGATAAGTCAAGTGTGAATTAAGAGGCACGTTTGATCAGGAAGAAAGAAAATGAAAAGGATAAGATTTCATTGGAGAAGACTGTCTTTCCCCGTTGTTGGACTGCAATGTTTGACCACCGACTTTTCCCCTCTCATGTCATCAATGCATGTTGGGCTTCATTTTCATTATTTGGCGTGGAACCATTGACCAAGGATATTATATAACAGGGAAGGAATGTATTGAGAACACCGACTTTTGAGGAAAATGAAACAGACAGAAAGCCCGAAAGACCGAAAGAATCAATAAGATCAACGAACACAAAGAATCAAAATAACAACAAAAAGTAGGGAAAGAATAAAAGAAAGAAAAGAACGGAGAAACGGCTATGCTTGGGCTTGGACTTGGGCTTTGGCTGCATCCAAGTCGGAAAGCTCTTGGAAAAAATTCCAACCCAACACACGGCAGATCTCAAGATGGTCAGCCAAGTCGTCGTCGCCATCTCTCCCCTTCAGAAAATCCCTGGTCAGCCATCGGAGCATCTTTTCTCTAGACACATGTTTCAAAAACGTCGCGAGAGGGGGGTTCTTGGGCCTTGGGGTAGGATCAAGATCGATCATCTCCTCCTCTGCGACCACTGAACCCGAACCAGAATCAGCTTCTTCATCCCTGTCCTCGCCTTCGATTGGGCCGGTATCTTCAATGTGGGATCCTGGTGCTTCAAACGAGCTGGCAGCGGTCGCATACTCCTCGAATAACTCATCATCCAGATCGTACTCTTCAGAGTCCTCAGAATCCCCAGAGTCGACCTCATGCTCGTCGAACGATTCATCATTGATAGAATTCTCGGAATCGGTCGCATGCTCTCCCGCAGAAGACTCAGGCTCCGGTCTCCGGGGGACAGGCGATTTGAGTCTGCAAGAGCGCCGAGATAGCGGAGATGACCGGCTCGGTTCCGACGATGACAGAGACAGATACGAATTCCCAGGGATGCGAGCGTGAATCTGGGGCAGACTTTGCCTGGCTGTCGGAGACCGAATACTCTCCAGATGGGTACGAAACACCGCAAGGTTGCACGGAACCAATCCGAGGTCTGTCAAAGGCTTTCCACAATCAGACGCAGTGGCCAGCCGGTTGGAAATAAACTCCACAAAGTCAGAATTGCTCATCCGGTAGCCTCCACGATTCTTCCGTAATCTATATTTCACGTGTTGTTGGTAATGTTGGTCGACTGCGGAGACAAGTTTCCCCCTCCAGCGAAGTGAACATTGTACTCATCCCGCGAGGAAATGCGTGACAGAAGATGTTCTCCTCGAGTTCACTGGAAACAAAAAACTCTTTGCTGATGGGGATTGATTCTCCGTCAAACAGCAGAAGCTTTGCAACGGATCTCTTTCGTTTCAATGGCTTGGACGGCACAGTGGGTTCCTCGAAGACTTTCTTCCGCCAGGTGAAAAGGTCGCTTTCAGTGATCCATCCATCTGAGCTACTCATGACTTCAAACTTGTCATGAGTGAACTGTGGATCCCCGTATTTGCGCTGGAACGTAAAAAACGGAGGTAGAGGCTTGCCGTTGAATGGTAAGCAATATAGAGCTGATACCGATTTTGGGCCTGTCCCCCTCTTCTTCGGACACGACACGGTGCTTGCTGTCTTCCCATCGATGTGTAGACGGTAGCCACGGTTGGAAAGAAAGAACACGTTCTCTGGAGCAATGCCGTTCTTTTTCATGAATTGCCGCAGCTGGTCGGGAAATAGCTTCAGCTTTCGCCCTTGCTCATCGAGGAAGTCCTTTGGGGGATCTCGCCTCCGAGAAAGCGTCGTTTCTTTTTGGAAGGCATCCCACTGAGACTTGAATTCCGGGTTGTCGGTTATCTTTCTCCCGGCGGCGGATCCAGTGATACCAAAGCACCCCCTTCCATGCAGGGCTTCGATCACTGCGATCATCGTCTCTCGAAAGGATTCCTTGTTCTCCACTGGAAAGCCTTGCTTACACCATTTGAGTTCCATCTCAGTCGCCCATTTCTCTTCTGCCGCGGATGCTTCACGTCTCAGTTCGTGGGGTCCTTTCGATGCGGCTCTTTTCTGAGAGACTTTGGTAGTAGCCATATTTCGTGACGATTTGGTAGGAGCCATTTTCCGAGACGCTTTGGTGGGAGCCATTTTCGGGGATTGGTAAGGGAGGTTCAGGGATCCATTGATCATGACCACTGGTTCAGGGTATCGCGATGGCATAACGCCAGTTTCTCTCGTGGGAAAGGTTGGACAATGCACGACCGCAGAATCTACCGGAGTGAAAGTCAAGATCAGTATCATGTTCATGGCACATGCTCTGATCAACGCCAATACATACCTTCCTCCACGGGCTCTCAATTGAACACAAGAGTGATTGAACCACTCAGGATTCAGTAGGAGAGGGAATCCAAGCGGAGATCTATCAACGTGAAAATGAATGTTAGCATTGTACATGAATTCTGTTCAACAACAATCGTTTTATACGTACCGTTTCTCCACGAGGTCGGAACTCCACTGCAGAGGAAGATTAAAGAAGATGACTGGGGAGAAAGAATGGAGAAATTGGGATCAGGGAGATGAGTGCATTATTTAGCCATTGCTTATCATGATCCAGAGCTCCAAAACCCCCCCCTTTCTCGCCCCAGCCTTCGATTTTCTGAAGATTCGATGGGTCTATCAATCAAGCCATACAGCTGTAGAGCCACGACTTTCACCAATTGAAATGTGGAAGTGGGGCATTCGCGTATATGTATCACAGAGGCGCCCGTTGTCGCGTCGGGATCGTGTTCTAGACCCACAAGTCTCCAAAGATACAAATGGCCCATGGCTGATGGCCATCTGGAATGGCATACGTAACGGATGGAGAAATCGAATCTGCCCGGATCAAATTGGTCTACTGTGAATGATGGAGGGTATTTTGAATGGTATGAGTGGCCAGGCGGCCTTTGCAATCCTGATCATACGTGTACAGTCCATGCTGAAAGATGTGGGGAACTTCCCGCCAGCGACCGTGAGCCCCCGGTCAAGCAGAGATGCATGGTTTTCTTTCCTGCTCCACAGTACTGCAGGAGAGCCCGTGGAATTGACTGTGTTTCAAGGAAGTCCGTCCGCTGCATTTGATGGAATACAGCTTGTTTTGTCTACCCATTAAAACTGCGGATCTGCGTGAAAGCAAACATGGTCAGCAGCACATTTATGAGCACTGGACTCTGCAGCACTATGGTGTGGATTGCTTCGTGGCGTGGAAAAGGAAGAGAAGAACGATCTCACTGGGTCTTCCAGAGAAAGTTAGATTATCATGTCTTTGAATGCGGTCTTCTTCATCGAAGGGAACTCGCAGAAGGTCGGCGTCTTTGTCGAATTTCTTTCTGTGTGCTTCGCACTCTTCTCCCCAATCGTCGGTCTGAAGCTTCTTGGCCCACTCGTCTTTCAAGAATATTTGACAAAAGCACATTGTCTGCTCGGTCAAGTTCCCACCTCTGTAGAAGGAGTCAGTGAGCGAGTTTTTACTCATTCATTGCACGATCATACCAATGCTGGAAGATACAATGGCCATTTGACGGTTTTGGCTGCTCCTCATCCGTGTCTTTCGGGCGAAAGCCCGAGGTGTAAAGGAGCTGCAGTTTTAGAATCTTCCCGGCGCAAATGACTACATATTTGGCTTTAATCCTGATTTTATCCTCGGCATGAGCCGTTGGCTGAGGTTTGGCAAGAGCTTTGACGACAGCAGAGGTAACTTTGGAGACTCCACCCACGGTCTCAATTTCAAGCCTTTCGCAAATGTGCTCGTCTCGTAGCTCGAGCAGAGGATAACCTGCATGGGTTGTAACCCAGCAGGTCGCCCAATGCCGCGGATGTAGATGACCAAGTGATCAATTTTCGCTTCCACTTTCTTCGCGGCAAGTGGGAGAGGTCGCACTTCTCGATCGTGAAGCTCATTCCTTAGAATATCCAGGACTAGTCGCTGGCGAATCGATCCCTCGAGGACATTCTCATCCATGTCGGTGCTTATCAGCTGTTCTGCTCTTCTATACAGCTTGTCTCAGGTATCATCATCGAAGACTGTGGATCGTTCAATGGCTTTGTGCTGCCTCCGGGTGGCACAGGTCCAACAACTTTGGTTGATGAAACCGAGCGGAATATTGCAGGTGACCACTCACTGCGTCGACGTTCTTCCAACGTTGCGGCCCACTGCATTGGCGTCTAGGTTACTGTAAATATCTTCTCCTGATTCTGTCCATTGGAGTTCTGTTTACCGCTGTAAGAGTATTCACGCTGTTTCAAGGTCACTAAGGGCAAGGAGCGTGTCTTACCGAGGGGACCAGGAGACAGGTGGTAACTTGAGACTGGGATCTACCCTTGTTGGCACAGAAGTTGCATGTAAACTTCCCTGAAAATGCCTCGTGAGCATCATGATTCATGAATGCGGGATAGAGCTCAAGAAATGCGCGGGGAGTATTGATACCTGAATAATGCTGGTAGGCCCTTCCATTAGTACTGTTTCAGGGCTCTAGTGCGCCACAATCAAAACACTTACTTGGCGAAAGAATCAATCTGCTTTTGAAATGCCACGGCGTTTTTCTTGTGCTCTCCGGCGATCTTGAACTCCCTGTAAAGTGCGAATACTAGTCAACTTCAATTTCGTTGAAAGGTCACGGCATTCAGGGCTTCAATGCTGTGCTCCCGCTTCTATCATAATGATGCTTGGATTGTATGGTAAACGATCGAATCGGACTCGGGTTGAAGAATCTCCTTGGCGCAGGTAGCCCCAATGGGACCAGAGCCGATGACTAGGGATCTGTTATTTGAGAGTCACGAGGCCAGAACGGAAAATGAATTACCCAGGAGATCACAACATTCCTCGTGCAGGCCCATTTTGCTGAAGGTTTCTAGTTGGAGAGATGGGTTGCACTTTTCACCTTCTTATCTGCGCCGATGGCTTGTAAATCTATGTTCCAGATGCCACAGGTGGACTTGAACCAAATTGAGCCTTCAAGGGTTCTCATCTCTATCCGGAGCAAAGAGTCTATGATGTAAAAAATGAACGAGGACCTGACTTTCAAACCCTTCATGATGAAGCCGTGCATCACCATCACTTCTTGATTTTTTTATTCATTTCTTTGCACCGTCTGCGACATCGAAATCTCCATTCAAGCCTGGATCGGGGAGATATGAAATTGATTTTGTGGAGCATTATTATATGATAATCGAACATGGTACGTTCCCAAATCCACAAAGGTGATGTATTTGAGGCCTAGCTGGACTTCAATCTACAGCTTGTCCCGCATTTATTCCAAGCTGCCACTTGCGAATGGGTTGGAGGTGCTGTGGAAGAATATTTAAGGTGGCATCAATCACGGGTAAGCAGTGTCCACAATTTTCAGAGAGAACATTCAGAAAGCCTGTGACGTGGCCCTTGCAGATTGTCTCGACCTTGAACAGATTCCGGTGATCAGGATTGAGAACTTTTCATAAAGCACGGCGTGAAACCAGGAGCTGCTCAGCGGTTTGTTAGCGACATCGGTCGTTGGGCAAACCGACTTCAAGAGAGTAATGGGTATGAGGCGCGATTGTAATTTGTGTAATTATTATATATCTGTTCCAGAGTGACATGCAATCTTATATATCAACATTGTGACGAATGATTTCTTTTTCATGAATCCACGGAACAAAATGCCAAGATGCATTCAATCCGGCCGAAGAAATCAATCAACTCCTTGATACAAAAAAGTGAGCGTAGATAAGTCATGGATGCGATTCTCTGCTTTCCCCCACCATTCCTTTCTGCTGACACGGTTGCAACATTCTACCACCACTACAGTAGAATTCGAAAACAGATTACCCCTCAGACACTCCTACTCAATTTCTCGGGCTGTAGCGAAAAACGCGGTAATCGTTATGACGTTAGTTTGAGTAATTCCTGCGGCCCTGCCTGGCAGTATCGTGTTATAGAACGTATCGGGAACTAGTATCTAATGAGTCATTGTAATTTCTGGCTATCCCGTAGAATTTTCTAGAGAGGGGCAGGCTGAGAAAGCGGGGGTTTGGGCATCTTTCACCTCCCCGTTATCCAACAACTCGACGTCAATTTATTGCTTGTTCAACATGAACCCGCATTCAGTTCACAATGCAACCAATTTCTAAGATTGACTGGGACAAAGGTGATAAGAATGGGCTTGTCTCTGTCGGTTCCCATAGCCTCTATCTGTCCGTTTCGGGGCCAGATCGCAAGCCTGGACAGCCGATTGTCGTTCTCATGCAAGGCCTTGGCAGCACGATCGATGAGTGGGTTGCAGTGCGAAAGCTTGTGGTTCCATTTGCTCGTTGGTTGAACTATGATCGTTCAGGGATGGGTAGGAGTGAAGGTCCCAGCCAGACACCACCAAGCATATCTGCAGCATCAGTCGCAGCAGAGCTTGATACTCTCCTTCAGAACGCCGGTATTGAGCCTCCGTTCATCATTGTCGCTCACTCGTGGGGAGGCTACACTTCTCGCGAGTTTCTGGAACTCAGGCCCAATGATGTCGTGGGCATGGTGTTCGTGGATTGCAATACTGAACGTTTCTTTGATAGTGGTGCGTGGGGTTGGGACGTTTTTGATCCAGTCCTCGGTGGCCAAGATTTTGTTGAAACCACCGGTCTTGCAACGTCCCATGTCCTATCCGAGAAGGAGTGGAAAGCCGTTAAAGACGAGCAGGCTGATCCCCGACACCAAGCCACCGAGGCTGCTGAGATGCAGGCGGTGTCGAATGATAGACGGGCATTGGTCCACAAGAATCAACTCGAAAAGCTACTTCTCAAGGATTATCCAGTCAGTGTCATCATTGCGGATACACCTAATGATTTTCAAAAAATGTATGACTTTGGAGTGGCCGCAGGCAATGGAACGGAACAAGAACGGGCTCTGTTTCGAAAATGTCTCGATAGATGGCGCGAGATGAATGAGAACTGGCAAAGAGAGCTTTTGAGGCTTTCTCGTCTCAGCAGATCTATCCGTCTACATTGCAGTCACAATGTGCAGCTTTTACAACCAGAGAGCATAATTCAAGAGATACAGTGGACCATAGATAGCTGCAGATAACTCGCAATCTACTAATGAAATCTTAAGATCCCGGCTTGCAAAAGGAGCAAGTCGAGTTCTTGGAGGTGAACACCTAAATGACCCATACATAATAATAATCGTATTCGTGGTACCTCAAGCTATTATTGATAAAGCCTAGTCCTGAAAACTCTTATTTCTTGGTATTCTGTACCATCAGAATGACTAGGGAGGGGCCACTGAGCTTCAATAAGTGTCAGAGAATAGAGTCCTAATCTGTTCTCTGAGTCCGCACTTTATCCTTCATTTTTACGAGAATTCTCCGCTATCTTTACTTATGTAACGTCATGTGACGTTTTCCTTACTTTGTTTGTTCTGCTTGGATTCACATGTAATTCTCATGTATTCAGTCCTCATTTTTCGGCAGAACAGTTCGAATCTCATGCCTATTTCTTCTGCATTTTCTACGTCATAGAGTTTCCTGAGAAGACCCTAAATTAGGTCAGCTTGACCACATTGCCTTGATTTTCTAATCTAATTACCTGAGATGGTAATCAATCGCCCCGCCAACCTCAGACAACTTTCCTATACCTAAAAAGGTCATCCAATCGTGTAGCTTTTTTGAGTGCTGTTCGCCAGTCACGCGGATTTTCATCAGCACTGAGAAAACAAGGCTTCTCAATTGGTAACAGGAATGCTATCATGCTCGATCAAAGTATCAATGTAGGTTGCATCAAGACGTCATCTAGCAACCCGTGTCACGCAGGGTCGGGCGGAGCGGCCCACGCCGGGTATCCCCGCTAAAGTCAAATACCGATGGTTGCGGGGACAAATTCACGTACATTGTTTGCATTACCTTTCATCAAACCCCTACCGTAAAACGTATATTACACCTGGAAAGACGTACACCGGTATCAGTAGTGTATTTTATCCGGGCATTTCCTCCTTACTTCCAGCCTTGGAAGGACCTCATATCCGTATGATTCCGGCTCTACAAGACTCGCTTTTAGGATCTAACAATCAGTTTGTATCGGTTTGCATACAGTCAGTTACCCAGGCCCGTTGAAACTACTTCTCCATTGTCATTCCATGTGGAATCTTTCTTGGAAATGTCACTTTGTGACTCCAATGTTGGTGAATTCTTTTTGTTCCATTTGATTCGTCAGTCAGCAGGGTGATGTGATTGTACCCAGGTAGATTTCAATTCTGGAATGAGCGCACAAATCTTATTGCAGGCTGTTGAACTAAAATAGCGACTCGGTGATCAAGCAAAAGCCCAATAAGATCTTCTTATTATCGAATTATGTCAAATGGCAAATGGCAAGCTTAGACATCACCAAAACCTGAAAATGGGCCTAGAGTCAGGCCCAAAGCCCAACCCACTGTGGGCTTTGGGCTTTATATATATCTTAAGCCCAACCCACTATGGGCTTTGGGCTTTTTATGTCTTCGTTTGCATCCTTTCCAACATCACTAGCGGATGGAACGGGAGCAAAAGGATGCGAGATGCTGTCTCGATGTGGACGTGCACTGCCTGTTTGAATAGCGCCATTTTTTGTCACTCGATTGGCGGCGGAAAGAGCCAAATCGCCGAAATCAAAATATATCCATTGCTTGCAATTGTTAATTATTGCCCGAAATAATGGATCATGAGTATCACATTAGATTGTTGACCTATCAAGCCTCCACGTGAGACCTTTCCGTAGTTTCTGAAGAGAATCTTCTCATTTTCGGAGAGTGGCTAGGCGAAAGAATATTATTATCTTGGTTGTTTTGAAAACAGAATGAAAAGTATTACTTTGCCACCATTTTCCCTGCCTTCTGGCTGCATCCTGATACGATAAGCGAGTATTAATGTAGGTAGGACGTCAACCTACGCGAAAACACCAGAATCAAACTCGAACCTTTTAAACAGTCAGAAAATATTCTCCCTAGGAAAGGCACAACACTATAGCGACGTGCTATCTGAGAGTTTGTGTTGGCCGGCGACTTAGTGATCGTCAGTTGACGACGTAGTTTGCTCTTCGCACATATTCAACTAGACTTCTCGAAAATAGAAAAAAGGAGGGATCTTGAGAGTTATGTAAAAACAGCTACTAAACTATTTTCTGAACACGAAGAATATTAAGTAATAAAAATTCGCTAAGCAGGACGTCATGCTCTCGGTCCTGTGAATCACCTTGGGAATACTGAATGACTCCTAATTGGATGTACCTACTTGCAGCAAAAGCTGTAAAGCTCAATAAATTCTGCCATATAGGTAAGAGCGCCTCCTTGAAACCTAAGTCGCTACCCAGAGTTCCATAAGACCAAAATCATGTCTAGCTACGTAGGAGTCTGCTTAAAACCTCGTGCCATTCTTCTCGCTTTGTTCTTTCACTTTCCTCGTCACTGAATCATCACAATGCAAAGTCCTCGACGAATTACTAGTTTTCAACTTGCGCAACAGTTCTACTGTGTGTGATCTTGCCGTTGGCGCAATAGGACATTTCAAAACAAGACTATGCTATTATATGCCAAAAGCAAAAATCATGACACGAGTGCTGAAGGTCGATACAATACTCTCCAGACCTGCTTGGCCAAAAAGGAACACCCTGACATGTGCTTTATATATTTAGGCGCCCGGAAGTCGGCATCCAACCCGAAAGAAGTAAATCATAAACATGACTCCCTCAAGGTCTACCGCGAAGGACCTAACACTGAGATGGGGAATTGGATCCTAAATCGAAATCGGAAGAAGTCAAACGTCATAATAAATTGGTGGCCGATCGTAATAACAAGCTTTAATTGTCCAGAGTCGGAAAGTAGACATGGGCAGGGATTCGTGTAACAAAGGTTGCGTTGTGTTGCTTCGCTTCCGATGTGAGGCATGTATGAATGTCATAATGAAATTTTGTCAGCTATACCTATCAATTCTCGACACAGTTCACTGCTTCATCCACAATTCTGAAAAAGAAGGGCCCAATCGGATCATGTACAATGGCATCAGTGGCGTTGCTTGATCTCATATTCATTAATCAGGGCTAATGATAAGTCAATATTCGGGGGTTGTCAAAGAATATACCGAGTAGCGGGAAGATTATTGGCAGCCAGAAGATTATTGAGATACTTACCCTTAGTTACTCCGTGATATGCTTTTCAGTCATCCGGATTCTAACATCGAGTTCTATCGACCTATACGGTATATCAAAATCGGTCTTTTCTGTTAGCATGGCTATTTTACGAAAATGAATCAGGCTAAAGGAGGAGCGGATGAGGAAGATACCTGGGGGTTCGGCCACACCCTGCTGGTATTCATTCTGGCGCTTCCCTCTTTTATGATTCTAGAGATGCTATTCGGTATGCCTCGGAGCAATGTCAGTCTTCAAACTATTCGATTCGATTCATGGCCTCTTCTCTAACATATATATATTATCACGGTGCGCGGCCGGCATGCCTGGCCGCTCCTGCACGTTACCCACCTTACCTTGAATCCTTGCCCTGTCGATAGCTCTTCGAGCTCCGTCTTGTCTATGTACTTGTGTATAGCCTAGCCGTAGACTACCTGTCACGTTAACTCCTAATATACCTGTTACCGGTTCTGCAACCTGACATATAGTGACATTTAAGCCTCTACATAAATAAAAGATGGATAAGTTTATACAATGAATCATATGGCCAAATAGATACCAGCCTCGGCTGGTCTATCGGGATGGAATGACAGGTAGCACAATAAAACTATTCTCCTGTCCTACTTGGATGTGGTTGAGTCCACCCAGTGCCTTCGGGTCCCGGTCCTCGGGGTGCTCATGGGAGAATTTACCCACACCCTGAGTATCATGCCCTGCAATCTCGAGTACTAGCGTTTCGTTAGGCTCCAGAATAGTATTAGTCGGCCACACTTCCACGTCAACCTCATACTTCTCGCCTTCCTTGACGGGCTGCACATCACTGCTGAAGTAGTCGCGGTAAGGCAAGATATCTTGATGGAATGGGTGATTGGCGTTGACCTTCCGTAGCGATGTACGTAGCCAACCCTTTACAATAGGCACGGGATCCCCCATAGTACCGGTGTAGAAGACTTCTTTCCCTTCGGCATCTAGCTTGCGTAGGGTTACGAACAAGTCAATCTCGGTTGGAGAGGGAGCGTCAGGAGTAGATCTGGAGCAAGAAACAGTCAAATGGGCGAGGATATGACCGGTAATTTCGAGGGTTGATGGGGTTTGATATCGGAAAGTGACTGGATCTCTGTAAGAGAAGATATACGTCAGACCTGGTTCACCTAATGTTTCAGACTCAAGGAGATAGCGAAGTACATACCCGTTCAGTGCATCATATGTGCAAGTTGTAACAGAAGGGTCCGGTTCCTGAGACAGCCTGTTGTGGGGATTGAGAAAGAACTTGGTGTACTGGGTGTCTGGGATAGGCCAGTCGCTCTCGGCACGACTGGGGAAATTCAGTTCCCGCTCAGGATCGTCAACTCCACAGTCACCCTTGCGCAGGCAGACATTGACACGAGGCTGCTGGCCCGACTTCCAGCCGTCGTAGTCATTGTCCTTGAGGAACGCATCAAGGAAGGACAATTGAAGTCTGGCCGACTGAGGATAGTAGAACGGCAAGTCATGGCGTCCGACTATAAAACGCAGGAACTTGTAAGGCGATGAGGCACGCATCCATCCCATGACATTTCCACGCAAATGAAGCAGAATGCCACCCTAAACGCGGACCTGTTAAATAGGATTCCGGCGGAAAACGAAAATATTGCTTACCCAGTTTGCAACGCTCAGAAGAGGAACTTGGATGCTAGAAAGGTCAAAGTTCCTCGATTTGTAGTATTCCTCGTCCATATACTTGTGGGCTGCAGTGTCCTTAGTCTGGTCGCGACGATTGGAAACCAATGCCTCCGGGTGTAGGTCTCCTTCGAGGGTATCATCGCCCCATTTTCGAGCGGCTCGACCGGGCATTCCGTACTGATTTGGCTGAACACCGTTGTGCCACCAGAAGTCTACCGGGTTGAAAACACTTATTAGCATAACAGTGGAAATATTCAACAACGGGCTGTCTCACCAATGAACCGGTCAGATAGAATGCCACCATGACGAACCCGGTCGCGATAGTAGTCACTCATGCCTTCCCAGGGAATAATAGCTGACAGTCCTTTTGGCTGACGTGCGGCCACTCGCCACTGGGTGCCTGCGTAGTAACTGATCCCCAGCAAGGCTACCTTGCTGGAAGACCATTCCTGCTCTGACGCCCACTCAATGACATCGAAAAAAGCCTCACTGGTGCCGCGAGACATGGTGTCGAGCTCCCCTGGGCTCTGTCCAGAGCCACGTTCGTCGGTGCGAACGACAATATATCCTTGGCGCGTCCAAAAGCCCGGGTCTGGGGTTTCCCAGGATGAATGAGCCGATTTCATGTCCGGGTTGACCTGGTCCCAGCTCTTCTTAAAGAAAGTCTCGTACGGAACATCCTTGCCATCTAGTATGGGAGTTCCCTCGGGTTAGTCAAGGGCAGCTCTGACGATTTAGTCATGACAGCTACTTACAAGGGCCGTAGGTGGCAATAACCGGGTAAGTCATAGACCCGAAAGGAGAAGCATCCTTAGGAAGATAGACATTGCACCGGAGGATTCCCTTCTCGTACGTCTTTAGTGGAATGTCCACATTTTTCATAAAGATGTAAGGGAAGCTGTCACGGTCAATTTTGAGGAACTTGTTTTCGGCCATCTTGGGTTGCGAAATCGATATTACGCGAAAAGGGCACCTGAATACAAAAAAGAAGATCAACACCCAAATTAAAGAGAGTTTAGATCTCTAGCCCCTCGGTCCAATTCCGAATGGAAGTGCGGGCTGTTCGGCATTACTGTGGATGTGGAGGTGGTCAATGCCCCTCGGTTCGGTTCGGCTCCACACCATGTAGTAAAATCCGAGCAATTCAGTTAACCCCGAAGGCTTGGATGCTTGACATTCCGTAGCTCCAACCAATTCTGGAGAGAAAGGCGGAAATGATTTTATGAATTCGTGCTACCTGAAAATATCCCCACTAGCTTGTCTATAGTTTTGGCCATCGGTCGTGACTCTGGTTGTCTCTTGTCTTTTTTACCTCCCACTTCGAGATGGCAGCAGTGACAACACAAACGGAAACAGTGCATGCGGCCGGACTTCCAGATGCTGCCGCCCTCCGCCTTATAAGCGATTACGACATTCATCGTTCTCATAGTGAGCAAACGGGCATACAGCAATCTACTGGTCAGCTAGTCACGGTTGCTGGCAATCTTCAGCGCGAAGCCCAGCCGTCCCAGTTCGACCCCACGCAGGCACCGCATCCTCTGGTTCCTTATCCAGTTTCCAATCCGGGATGGTGGCAACAGGGGTATCGTCGAGTTCCCGATTATCGTCCAGTAAATAGGGAACTCGATCGCGAGCAAAGGCGACAGGCCAGGCTTTTCCAGGTTGTTGGCACGTTTATGATCGCGGGATGTTCCATTATTGCAGTGAGTCTTCATAATGTGTACCTAGCTGTTGCATAAGCTCCTAACCAATACCTGAGCAGAACTGGTCTTCATTGTGGAGAAACACAGCTGGAAGGTTTACGAGCATTGGCATTGGGGCAGTAGGTGGTGAATTTTGATGGGCATGTTGCAAGGGGAAATACGTTCGTTGTGCAACTGTTTATTGTCTAGCCTGAATATTTGTTGCAACTTTCTATCAATACATTCTTTTCTCTAGCTTGTATCCACATGTTTTGCGCCTCCTAAAAACAATCCGCCTCGTCTTATCACGCCACATGAATGGGTGCAAAGCGGAAGATGTATAAATTGATTGTTCCTGCCATATTGACTGTGGACTGGATTTATTGGGATATGACTATGTAGGCAAGTAGACCAGATAAAAAAGAGCTACAACCGACAATATACGTTCCACACTAGTCCCACGAACCCAGTTGATATTGGGAATTGCACATATTGACCAACTCCCAGCATTCTGCCATTATAGTGTTAGGGCCTTGGTCCTCCACTCCTCCAGCTGCGCCGGCAACGAATAAAGAAGCCATCCAGTGATCATCGGTTCCATGAGCGTCCCGAAAGCGAGGGTGCTTCATCAACCGAGACAATGCCCGACGCACCTCTGGGCCCTTATTGCGCAGGATCGCATCTTCCACAGCTTGTCGAAACTGTAACGCCCAAGTGTCGGGGGGCACAGGCTGCGCGAAGTTGTCATTAAACCTAAACATGTGTTCCCAGTGGTTTCTGTAGAGGTTGTGGACCGAGCCTCCGCTGCCAATAATCAAGGTATCATCGTACCGCATCGGACGCAGGGTGGCGCCCAGCTTGATGTGGAAGTGTGGATCATATCGAGCATTCATCGAGACCAAAGTGGTCGGAATGGGCACACAGTGCGGAAACATGCGGATGATTACCAAGAAGGTGTCGTGGATCCAGTCGAACTTGGGCGCTGCCCGAGCATTTATTCCCGCAGCACGAAGCCTTTCCAGCACCTCCTGACCTCCTTCGATATCAGGTGCCAATTTGTAGGGCAAGTAGCGATCGTCACGGACGCCGCCCATAGGCAGCTTCTTTGGGTCGGGGTTCATGCTAACTTCGACGGCGTCTTCCAATGTCTCCCAGTGGGCACCCTGTACATTAAAGGCATCCAGTTAATTTGTAAAGCTCTCCATCCAGCGCATAGTGAGGGGACTTACCATCATGACGATCCGTTTCATTCCTCGTCGCAAGGCTTCGTTTCCTACCTGCTCCCAGGTTCTCGCAGGCTCCGACTCCTCGCCCAGCATCATGGTCGAGCCATGTGCAAAGAGAAATACCGGGGCTGGTTCTAAAAGCGATACACATAACTGTCAGCACATCATGTTCTTGAAGTCCGTGGAAATCAACATCATTTTCCCACTTTTTTGGTTGCCCATTTCTGCCGGCTCAGATAGTGAAAGATACAATAAGCAATCGGTGACTATTATCAGAAGGAAATTGGAAAGTTAAAGCACCACTCTCTTAGTGTACATCACCCGATCTAGCTACAATTATTTCTCGGCTTTAGTGTCTGTAGCTGCGAGCCCTGGGGCGGGACTGGGGCGAGACTGGGGCGCCCACTTGTGCCGCGTGTGGAGCCGAACCGATTGACCTTAACCCCGACCTCCGGCTTACGAGCTTCTCCATTCTTGGCGAAAGCATCGAAATAGAAACCCTGGGGGAGCGCATTCACGGGGCCAGTTCACATGAATATTCTACGCTGGTTTCCTTCACGTTTGGCCAAGCCCCCGTGTGAACTTGGATTCCTAACCACTTCGTGATTCGCTTGCACAAAAGTTGAATATGTCTTTGACAGAGGTTTACGCGGCTGTACAGTCTGCCTGGGTTGAAGGCCGACTGGAAAATGTCCTCCAGAGGCAGAAAGAACTTGCTGGATTGCATGCCGCACTGACACGCCATCGATCTGGCTTAGTCGCTGCGTTTTCCAAAGGTATGTAGTCCTTGATGGACAATGACTATCACAGAGAGATGACTGCGACTTGTATGATCTCAATCCACTGATTTATTATCTTACCAAAGATCTTGAGACTATCGAAGATGGCGCATCGGTGGAGATTGACCTCGCTCTCGATGCAATTAAGCAGCTTTACGACCAATTGGATTTCCCTTCCTCCCTGGATCGGGAGAGGTCTGTTCAAGCTGGTCAGACCTCTCCCTTGAACTCTGTGGCGCTGGGTCCGGTCCTGATTCAAGCGGCTTTGCCATGCCCTCTTTCGTCAGCTATTCTTCCTTTGGCGGCTGCCGTCGCCGCGGGAAGTTGTTGTGTGGTTCTTTTGTGCGTCGCAACGCCCGCGATCAACCAAGTTCTCCACAACATCATCCAGAATGGCATGGACCAGGAGGCAATTGGGCTTGTGGATGTTTCTGTTCGTTCCGAAGAGTTAAAACACCTACGCTTTGAATCAGCCGCCCTACAGGACTCAGAGACCACCGAAGACTTTGCCAATGTGATGCGGCAAATAAACCCAGCCATACGAATTCACATCCCCACCACCGGCCTCCCTGCGATATTTGTCGACCGCAGCACCTCAGAACTGGAGACAGTTGCAACCTGGCTAGAAAAATCGATCTTGAATGGCTCTCGCCAGCATTCTGGATCGATGCCTCGGGTCTGCTTTGTGGACGAATTCGTGATTGAACAGCTTACGTGGCTTGTGCAGCAACGACTCGACTGGGTAGGGAAGGCGCCGGCATCCTCTGACCAGTCCACGGCAACAGAGATTGCCGATCTTCTGACATCTACCTTCCCCTCTCTCAAAAAGAAGGGGCTGTCTGTCACCGCCGACAAGCTCTCTCGCCTGATTGTGCTTCAGTCCACCGAGTAATATTAAGCCCATCCAAGTATTGGTATAGTGACCCAACTGACGATTGTGTACATGTCCAGTTCGATTGATCCAGAAACTATTGGTCCGGTTGCAAGTCAGGTCACAAAGTCATACCACGGCATCTTGTTGATTCCGACCACCAGTCTCGATCACGGGATTGACTTGTGGAACAAAGTGTAGGTTCAAATTAAGTGCCACTAAAGTGCCAAGGAACCTCAGTCTGACTCTTCTAGGAACAATGGCATGCCTTCGCCGGCGATCTATGTGTTCGGCGGCGGGAAAGAAACCTGGTACCTCTCCCAGTTTATTAACTCAGAGCATTGCTTTGTAAATTGCATTCCTCCGCGATCATTTTGTGAGTATCCATCCATACGCGCTATGCTGAGCTGGTATTAACTTGGTATTTCCCAGGCATGATTGCACCCAGTTCATCACACGATACTTTCGCGCTGCCATTCCGCCCAGACAACTTTTCACGCAATAAAGTTATCCTACAAGACTCCAACCTGAATTACCAAGGATCTCGTCATGGTTACCTGAATTTGAAGAAAATTTCACAGCCAAAGGGCGGTCGGCTCTCGTATTTTGAGCAAGGTCTGATCGTGGGACTGAGCGTTACTGCTATCGCTGCGTCAACCTTTGCATTTACTATCTTCAAGGGATTGAAGCAGGTCTATTATTGAATATTTCGAGAGAGAGCCCAAATTGTCCATGTCCCCCTTCTGTACGCATATGCTTGTTTGTTTAGAGACTAGGGAAGTGAAACTTTTTTGGTAGCTCTATCTTTGCGGCACCTAAGCCATCCGTTAACCATACCGTGCCATACATTAGCAGGAACTGTAGGCGAATAGCTGTATGCGATCTATAGTGCAGAAATAACTTTTCTCGACGACGCTTGGACTCACTTGAGAACTTAATATGTCGCAAATACTCTGGCTATAGTTGTGGAATATGCTATGAAGAAATGAGTAGTCACTACAGTTACAAGGGAACTGCAGAGACATCCGCAATATATAATCTAGTAGACTCCAATTTGAGCGCAGCTAAAGCAAATTATTAGTTCAGGCAATAGCGAAAAAAAAAAAAAAAAAAAAAAAAAAAAAAAAACAGGTGATAAGCTCTTTCTGGGTAGCCGTTAAAGCGTGGATATAGATTCTCTCTCATCGAACTGGCAATCATAATAGACAAGCATTTCTACGGTACAAGGGCCTTGGGAATAATGTCAACACAAGTAGCCCACGATAGCGGTGACGGCTTATATCCATTTAATTTAAGTCACTGTACATAGCAAAGCTAAAGTTAAAAGGGCTCAACCAGGGGAACAACCAAGTAGCTTCCATCCTCAACCCCTAGATGAAGCGTGTGTGGGCCCTTATTCTCGATGTCAGGGTGGTGATTCAAGAAATCAAACTCCATCATGCTCATATAGTGACCCGCCACCTTTAGCACCAAAAATTCCCCAGTGTCAAAAGTAATGCCAGCTGGCCAAATAGGAACTTCTAGGCGATATACTTGACCTGCCTTTACCGCGGCCTCTTTTTTGTCATTGCGATACTTTGGCCATGCGTTCGGGTCAGAAGAAGGAATCTTGGTTCTAGCGTGAGTGGCTCGGAGAGCCCCTGTGGGCCCAAGGTATTTGAGGAAGCAAGTATTGGACACCTCGTCAGGGCTGCGTTTGGGTGGCACCAGTTGTTTAAGTGGTACGTTCATGTGTTGTAAAATTGCCCCAGACTTGTCCATTTTCCGCAACTGGACGAATACGTCCAAGTCTTGCGGGATATCTGCCGAGAGGTGTAGAATAACCTTGCTGTATCCGAGCAGCCAGGTTGGCTTTCCGAATTTGTAGGTAAAGATGAGTTCCTCGGAATTGTGATCGGGCTTTGTGGGGACAAAATCCGATAGATAAGACAACTCAGACGACGAGGAGGGTGGTTGAGGGGAGAGGTCGCCGCTCTCGGTCAGGAACAGCTTGGTATATTGAGTCTGGGGCACGGGATACGCCGGAAACGGTTTATTGTCAATCGGTGCCTGTTTGTGTGCCGGGTCAGCCAGTTGTCAGTCAACTAAGGATTGCAAACTTACCTCATTAAAAGGCAATAAAGAAACCCGGATCCGGGGCGTCGCTGGCCAGTCATTTTGGATATCCTTGGTGTAGAAATCCAAAAACTTGCGAAGATCCTCTGTGCTTTCATCTGAATATAGATCAGACCATTCTTGCTTGGGGTGCACTCGCAACCTGCCAGAGTACGTTAGTATGCTACATCGCGGCAATACACCGGGGGAAAAGGCCAGGGGCTACTGACCATTTATCCTGGCATCCCAAGGCATTGTATCCCCCGATCGAGCCGCTGGTATGAAGAGAGGTCGAGTAACTGGCAAGTACGTAGCACGGAGCCTTCACGCGATCCAGTTTAGCTCTTTTGTCCTCCCAGTACTCGTTGTACAGCGGATACCGAGTGAGCATATCGGTGATTGCCTCTACCTGGCCCCGACCGATCATCGATGATTCAAGAATCTTCCAAAACCGCTGATAAGGATAGGGTGTGCCACCGCGGCAAAGTGTATCCCGGTAGAAGTCACTGGCTCCCTCCCATGGGGCAAAGGCGGCCAGATGAGGAGGCTGCTCCGCCGCAATGAACCACTGAGACATGGCTAGCCAGCTGTTGCCAGCGAGCGCCACCTTTCCGTTACACCAGTCCAACTGAGCCACATGCTCAATCGCATCGTAGCCATCTCGACCATCTTGAGATCCTAGCCACCTAATCCACGTAGGTTAGTATATTCTTGCCATAATCGCCCTGAAATCAACGTACGGGATGGTGCCTTCGGAGTTCCAACATCCGCGCAGGTCAAAGTTAATGATTGCGTAGTCATGACCAACCCAGTCGGCAGGGTCAAGGCCCTCAAACTTCTCATATCCACTTAATCGTTCTTCTGGGACCCCAAATCGACCTTCAATCATATGTAACCCATGAGGCCCTAAGGAATGTTTTGAATCAGCTTTGAGTCCATTCCCTTAAGACTATGCAACACGACCAAGGCTCTCACTAACCATTGCCACCTTTACCATACGGGCTCCAGATGAGAATTGCTGGAATGTTAGAGCGGCCCTTAGGACGGAAGATATCACAATAGAGCTTGACGCCATCTCTCATGGTGACCGCCACATCCCGTTCAAAAATGGTGTCTACAGGAAATGCGGCATTCTTCTCACTTTTCCGGAAGCCCTTTGGGAGCTCCTGGGTGGAAGGATGAAATGGAGCCACTTGGTTGGCAGCCTCCTCCTCCGGCGGAATGGCCGGGGCCTGGGCAACGTCAAAACCAGCAATGGCCAGAGTCATGACGAATAAGAGCTTTGGTTTCGAAACAAACTATTGAGGGTTATAGTCGACTTCCAATGGTCAGAGCTTCAGCCTATCTTTATAACCATGTCATTATCCGCGGATTATTTGCACCTTCGGCACCCCCTCGCCCGACGGCGTGTGTGGGATATCCGAGCGGGGCCGAAATCCAGGCAAAGGGGGATCCACCCCAAAAAGGGCGAGAATTATGGGGTACTGACAACGGGTCGATAGCGGGGAAAGCTGTCTTATGGGGTACGGAACCATTCCGTGGGGTAGAACCTGGGCCAAAGGAGAAGGCAATGCGGTATCACTAATCGGCATTGCTTCTCTTTCAGGGTGCTTAGACAGTCGGGACCGCACTATAAATTGTAGGCTTATGAATTGGTAGCATGGTAAAGGATACCTTCAAATAATCTTGTTCCTGACTCTCAATTTGCTCTCCTGGATCAGTTCAATATGGCATCAGCAAATGCTCCTCTTCGCCGAGTTGTCACTACGCACCATGGTTCCCAATCTGTGATCTTGTTTGATGGAAATCTAGAACCCAATAAAGGATTTGCTTCCAAAGCTGCAACCATCTGGATGACCAGACAGTACCCGGCGGAGCTAACGGCAACCGATCCGAGTGCCGATAGCCGCAGTAAGCAGATGTATAGCAGGGGGTCTCTGATCCGCGTGGTGGATTTTCCTCCGAACTCCAAGGGCCACAACCACCGCACACAGTCACTCGATTATGCGATTATCATGGATGGTGAAATGGAGATGCTCCTTGATGACGGATCGAAAACTAGGGTTCGGGCTGGTGATGTTGTCGTACAACAAGCAGTCAGTTGGCCTCTGGTCCTTTCCTTTATGCGCCAGAGACGCGAGAGCTAACACAGAAGTAGACTATGCACCAGTGGAATAACCCAACAGATAAAGTGTCCCGTGTTATCTTTGTTCTGCTCCCCTCTGAGCCTTTTATCGTGGGAGAAGCGCTTGGTGACAAGGGGATACCAGAGGCATTTAGAGTTACATCCTGACTAGTTAATGTGACGCTTTTGTAACATCATCTGTGTCTCGAGTCATGGAGGAATCATCTTAGTGATTTAACTATGTCATCAACCTGTTGTCTTCGTCGAAAAGACTTTGTAAAATAACTAACTTATTTGCATATTTATACATGTGCATCTTTGCTAAGCTCATATCATCGATAATTTCTAGTTTCTTGTTCTAAATGATAGTAGCTGTATGACCGGAAAGTAAGAATATTGTCAACGTTCGCTATCATTTGTAGCTCTCCCGCTTCTTCCGCTGAGACCTCTTGCTCTCGCCAAATAGAAAGATAATCCGTCCTCAACTCACTCACGATGAATAAAAAGTAAGCAAAAAAATAAAATAAGATAATACAACAGTCAGGATTCGCATGTTGGCACCCACCATAATACTCACTGACCGGCGTGTGGCTTAAGTACGGCTGGGCGGATGGAAACCCTGTTCTCCGCACCCTGTTCTCCGCACCCTATGGTCATATGTGACACGAATGACGGAGAATAGGAAAATATAGCGAGTAAAGTCTTAGTCGATTTGAGTAAGTGTGTAGTAGACTAGATAAGCTGAAATCAGCCTCTATCGCGCGGCTGCCGCACTGACCCTTCAACTAGGCTCCATATGCAGAGCAGCCTAGAGTTATTGGGTCAGCCCCATCTCATCTACTAGGTCCAAACTTTCAGCATCTGCGCCTCGCCGCTTTGGCTTAGTAGTTGTGGCTTGTCGCACAGTTTCTAGTTCTGGATTTCTGGTTGCTACTTCAGTACGCTCTATGGGGCTTGAAAAAGATGTGTCAAAGTTGGAAATAACGGGATATACTAAGAATGTTGCCTATAGTGCATTTTTGGTCCAGTGGTTTTATTGCCTAAAAAAGTGCGACAAGATACTTAGCTAGTACCCCATCCCTACTTCATCAATCCTGCCTAGCCTCTGCTACGCGATCACTGATTCTCCCTAATGGCTCTGACGACCAGATCACTTAGATTAAGGCGAGTCAATAATGTTTCCAATAGAATGTTGCTATAAATGCCGGAAGAACTTACGTATCCATATAAGCGCGGATCTTGACAATCTTGTTCTGTTCGTTGAACACGCATATCCAGGTATACACATTGGTGAACGGCAGGCCATTCTTACACTTCGTGTCCACAGCCTTCAGCTCAACAGCGGCTTGGCGACCATCGCAGATGATGTTTTGAACTTCCAGCTTCAAGGGACTCGCCCAAGTTGAGCTGAGAGCCTTGGTCCCTTCGTGGAACTCGGCCTTGGAATGGTAGTGCCCAGCGATAGGGCAAAAGGTGCCTGCCATGAGCAACGTAAGTAAAGGGTAAGACACAAACCCATAGTCACTGCCCACCTTTTACTTGCCAGTCCACATCGTCAACAATATTTTCAAAGAAATCTTGAGCTCTCCCTTCTCCGAAGGGGGCAAAAATCTTTTTGACTTGCTCGGTGGAAGGCATCTTACTGAGAAATAAAGTCGTTCCTTACCTGAGTGAGTCGGTGACGCGAAGAGTAAATAAATAGACTTCACGAGAGGTGCAGCCAAAACCCATAGTATCAATTTAGAAGACACTTATCTCCGAACTTGTGGTAATAGTAGGGAATGAGCCTGCCCCGCGATTTCGGCTGTGTGTGGGCAGAGCCGAGTGGACACAGCCGAAAAAATCTCATTGTGCCGAGGGCCGCGGTGCTTCCTAGCAAAGTTACTAATAAAATGCATTATTGAACCAAAAATTGCAGAGCAGCTGTTATCCACTCTTCCACTAAAAATGCCACTGCAAGTGATCGTTGTTGGCGCAGGCCTGGCTGGTCTGGGCGCTGCCATTGCCCTCAACCGTGCGGGCCACAATATCCAAGTATAGATTCCGCTTTGTCTCCTACTTGACTCTTCTTCACTTGACGAGGCTCACCTTCGCGGTAACAGGTTCTCGAACAATCCAGTTTTCGCAATGAAGTAGGCGCAGCCATTCACGTCGCACCCAACGCTACACGGATCTTGAAGGAATGGGGTTGTAATTTGAACGGCCTATATCCTGTACAATGCAACCGTCTACAGGTCTGGGATTCGGAGGGAAATCTCCTTTTGACCCCTGTTGTATGTTTAACAATCCTCTGGCAAGAGCGCAAGACACCCTAATTAACCCTTTATCGGTAGGTGACGAAAGACCTCCACCGGAAATTGAATACCACAGATGACTGGCTTCTGACCCATCGTGTGGATCTCCACAATGTTCTGCGCGCTGCTGCAGCTCAGGAAGTGGATGGCCGAAAGGTTGACATTCGCCTTTCATCGCGCGTGGTCTCTGTCGTAAGTGAGCTCTCTCTGGTACGGCTAGATTAATTCTCCATTAATTTCTTTTGTTTTATTTCTCATCTAGGATTCCGAGGCTGGAATTGTCACACTAGAGGATGGAACCATCTACAAGGGCGATTTGATTGTGGGAGCAGATGGAGTGCATGTAATAAGTCCCGCCACTCTCATCGTAAATCTGGTACTAATTAGGTGTTGGCTAGTCCCGATCTCTGCGTGCTATTGTCGGACAGGAGCACAGAAAAGAAAGCACAGGACAAAATTGTTTCCGGTTCCTCGTTCCCATGTCAAAGGCCCAGGCAAATCCCTTGACTGCGGCACTGTTGCAAAAGACCGGCGTGGATGGGGTCCACGCTTTCGTCAGTCCAGATCGCCGCCTCGTCGTCTACCCTTGCCGCGAGGGTGATCTTCTCAACGTTGTTGCAATTCACCCTACGGGTCCTGAAGAGGTCAAAGAGGCATCCTGGCTCGACTCGGGCAATCTCGATCAGCTCCTGGAGACTTATTCTTCATTTGGACCAGAGCTCCAAGAACTCTGCCGCATGGCTGAGGACCTCAAACTTTGGAGCTTGGCGTCACGCTCCCCGCCAACCACTTTCGTCCAGGGCAAGCTTGCCTTGGTAGGCGATGCAGCGCATCCAACACTTCCTCGTAAGCCTATCATTATTAACTCTCTCCCCACCTTTCCTCCATTGCTGACCTCACAAAGACCAAGGACAAGGTGGCGCGCAGGCATTTGAGGATGGAGCTGCATTGGGCGGTGTGTTGCCAGCCGACACTACACTGGACCAGGTTCCTCAGCGCTTGTCTCTATACGACAAAGTCCGTTATGACCGAGCAGTGACAGTTATGATGATGTCCAAGACGCACGACGAACGACGAGCCGAGACGTTGGACGAGCTGCGGAAGTATGTTCCCAAAGCAGAAATGCCTCCCGACATGTTTTCCTTCACCTGGCCTTCGTGTCCAGGCCGGGATGCCAAGCGTCTGCTTGAAGCGCAGGTCTAGGATCCCAGGGTGGAAAATGTTGAGAAGACCTCAGCAGTCAGCATACTATCGTAACAGTTTATCATAAATTGAGACGCCACTTCATATGCCCTATCCTTCGCAATGCCTTACTAATCCAATCCACCTTGTGGTAGATCCACTGAAGGGAGCTTTGCATGGAGATGTGGAGAGCCAACGAGGGGTATGATGCGTAGTCGCAACTTAATTTTGAAGATCATCCTGCTCAATATCCTAGTTTTGAAGGTCATCCGAGGTTGTACCTTAGCCGGGGGTCGACCAATTCCGCGCTTCGTAAGCCGACCAGATCTCGTGCCCTCCCCGTAGCCGATCGTTGCCGAATTGACGCGGGGAACGCGTAAACTCGGGGTAAAGTCACAGCGCACCCCGCCAACCTGCACGCTTGTACTCTCTGTGCCATGAGCGCTGTCTCAGCATCTCATTATTCTTCCAGCCAGGTCCGTCTTGGTGTGATGTTGTAACCACAATGCAAGCTGCGGATGGATACCACTGCGAGCAATGCAACGCCACCTTCCAGCGGAAAGAACACTACCAACGGCATCGCCGCACCCACACCAAAGAAAAACCGTTTGTATGTATTTCAATGCAATGATGGTACTTTATGCGCGTACCTGCATCCAGCGACTGACTATCCACAGTCATGTACAGAATGTGGCCAAAGTTTCGCTCGAATGTACGTTTGTTGCAATTCTACCCCAGCGTTCTTGGGTGCTGACTTGCATACAGAGACTCCCTTACCCGGCATTACGGCACGAGACATCGACAAGGGGCTTCTGAATCTTCCGGAGAGCGACGACGGGTGATTCAGGCATGCAAGCCGTGTAATTTATCCAAGCTTCGATGCGATGGACAGCGACCATGTGAACGGTGTCGTCGATATGAGGATGAATGCTACTATGAAGACCGCCAGAAACGTCGGATGACAGACCGCAATCTCTCTCCCACCTTGCCGCATTCTAAGCGACATCATCCGCAAACTCCAGCCCTCAGCAGTACGGGGCTAACGCACTCCTCCTATCCAGGGGACCCCTCGCAGTCCACGACAAACCCATCTCCGCCACTCACGATTGTCAATCAGGTGGCTGCCGTACGGGCTGAGTGCGTGCCACCGTCGCACGAGCCGGCCAACATGCCTGATCTCAATGGTTATGCGATGGAAAGTGCGGACCAAGTGCCCACTCAGGGTTCGACGCTAAACAATGAAGGGCTTTCCGATCTCAAGTATCCAAGATGGGGGAGTCTGCTTGACTTGGACCTAGACATAGGGGAGGGCTTGGACCCCTCCATCTGGCCGAACATTTTGGATCCGCGATCGTCCTTGGACCATTTCGACAACATTTGGTTGGCATCCACCGAACCAACCACAGGTCCAATTCCTGCCCCAGAAACCCCTCAAATACCCACGCCTTTGACTACCGCCACTGTGGGTGAGATTTATAATCGCGCTTGCTCACCTGGCCCCACCGACGAGGCCGTCGAGCCACGACAATATCAACCAACCGCAATCGAGATCGATGCGCAGCTGACGTTTCCAGATATGCAGCATATTCGTACGGAGGATGTAGACAAAGAACACCTAGCCCACATCCATGAGATTCAGCAGAATGTCGTAGACGAGGTGGCCAAGCTAGCCTCAGTCCTGGAATCGAAATCGCTCTTCCCGCCGTTCGTGAAGTTAAAGATTCCACCTGCCCCGATCATCAACGCTTGGACACAACTATATTTTGAACATTTTCATCCTGTCTTTCCGGTCCTTCACAAGCCCACATTTGGAGGCCCAGATACGCATTGGCTCCTAGTGTTTGCTGTCAGTGCTATTGGAGCTCAGTTTTCCCGAATCCCGCAGGCCCAGACTTGCGCGAGGGCCATGCACGAATTGATCCGTCGACAGTCCATGTATCTGGTAAGTCTTCCTCGCTCCTGATTTGCTCGCGTCGGCAAGACTTGGCGGGTTGGGCATTTACAAGATTCCTTATCATCTAGTGCGAAAATCAAAATAAGAATGGTCGGGAACTTTGGTTAACGCAGGTGATTCTCCTTAACCAAATTGGTCTGATGTACTCCGGAGAACGGAGAGCGTTAGAGATCGCGGAGCTCCTGCAGGCGCTCCCTGTTACTCTCGCTCGGAGAAAACATCTTTTCACGAACATATTGTCTGCACCGAAGATGGCAGGGCTAGACCTCTCACTTTCCCAAAGGTGGCAAATTTGGGCTCTGGATGAGGAGCGGAGGCGGACTGGGTTCGCTATCTGGGTAAGGAGATGTCATTGGATCTACCTAGGTATGAAGTCTAATCTACGGAGTAGCTCGTTGATTCGGCTTTTCAAAGCCATTTTGATCTCACGCCGGTCCTTTCGGTTGGAGAGTTACAGAACTCGTTGCCCCATGGCGAGGAAAGATGGGCAGCTTCAGGTGCCCGAGGGTGGGCCAGCTTTTCTACGCACACAGGTCCGTCCGTCCATTACGTTCCTTCCACATAGTTTACATGTCCTTATGAGTCCCTAGAATCAAGCACGCTCCATACGGTGGAGCAAGTTGTCAGAGACAGCACTTGGATGGCATCGTGGATAAAGACCGGCATTTTGGGCAAACAAACCCTCCTTCAGCTGCTGTCGAACGCCGCTGTCATTGATCAAGATCGTCTTCTTTCCTCACAATCCCACAACGGTATAAGCCAGATCGAGGCTGAGGCGGCGCTTAAGGCGCTACTTGCAGGGACAGAAGATGAAGAGTCAAACGTCTCAGCATTAGAACTCAAGGCATCTATCTCACATCGACTGGTGATTCTCTCAGTCCTCATGCTGCGTAATACTCCTCGACTCCCCCTGCTTGCTACAGCCATGCGTGTGAGGTATCGTCGTTACACCGATGAAGAACTCCGCAGTCTAGCGACAGAATGGAATAAGGCACCACAGGAGCGTCGACGGGCTGCTATATATGCTGCGCGAGCGTTTGAATCAGTCCGCAGCCAGTATTGCGCCCATTTTTCAACCCCTGTGCTGTTATTCCGCGCGACTTTAATCATTTGGCTCTTTACTGTTCTCGATGACCTGTCACTTGACTCGCAGCCCGCAAGTGACGCGCCCTTGATCATTCTCGGTGCCTCCAATACGACCGATCCGAATCAAGAGCAGTGGGTGGAATCTGGAAACGGTCGTGTCAAATTACAGGGGGTTGGCAACATCTTCTCTTCACTGGGCCGGCAACGATTTCTTGATGAGTCGATCTCTGCGATGCAGTCCCTCCGATCGTGGGGGATAAGTAAAATCTATAGGCAACTGCTAACTCAACTACGAGCGGACTAGAATCTCTGATATCAGACAAGGGGTGTCGAGTGGAACTGGTCTCTATCCTACCTAATATCTAGCTGTACTGGCCTCGGCGATGAATATCAGTTGTATGTTAATGAAAAAGAAGAATTTATCACAATTCCGGCAGGGATGACACGTAGACAAAATGGCTTCAAAGCTTACAATTCATTGCGTATTGGCGTCAATTTTCGGTCACGTGTAAATTCCAATTCCGTGGGTGCTAGAGCCGCCAGGCCCATCACGCATGTAAAAATCGAGTATATGTCAGGGGCAAGATGAGGTATTTTTGTATACTGGAGTTGGGGGATCGGGTGACCGAGTATGATCTTTTGAGGTTGGGTTTTCTTTGTTTAGTCTCTTTGTCTGATCTGTTACAGTAGCGGACGAGTCGTATCGAGTTCGTTTAAACTTATGTGTTGTATAGTAGATAGTCGTTTTCGACTACGAAAATTGACGCACGTCCGAGGCACTTTTTTGATTTAACACTTTGGATGAAGCAATTTCCTGCGAGTCCGCCACCTGGGACAAACTCACCCAGTTACGCTGACCGGAAAGGCCCTTGGTCTGTGACCAGAATTTATTTCATACAGAACCCCTGGGGAAGATAACCAAAACAGTAAAGCCAATTTCTCAAAGTCTCAGATAAATCATCACTTGGTAGCTCATGAGACCCTCGACTAAATTGAGATCTTGTGTAGAGAGCAAGCGTGACTATGCACGCGCCAAACTGATGATATGTACCATTTGTCACAAACAACAGATCCCCGGATGCATACAAGGTAAATACTATTAACCAGGCTTACTCCTGTGCTCTCTCGCAGTGCTCAATGACGGCGTCATCTTTGGTATTGTCGCGCCCATCGAGGATTTCGTCCACCTCGTCCGACGTGTGGCGTCGTCGATACCATGATGTAGTTATGGCAGGACCTTCGAAGACTTCGGATATTTCCTCTAGCGAGAGGCCTTTGGTCTCTGCAAAGAAGAGATATACGATAAGACTCATAACTACCAGGAGCCCCACATAGACCAGGTAATACTTCCAAGAGATAGCTTCTAGCGCAATAGGGTTCACGAAAGTATTGAATGTAAGTGCAATGGTGTTGCACATGTTCGTGAAGGCGATTCCTTTCTGGCGAGCATGGAAGGGAAGGATTTCCGCTGGGTAGGCTGCTGAGGGTTAATGATGTATTCTGACCCGGGCTTTCTCTGTCAGGATGACTGACCAAATGTGAGCGGGGTGACGCCGATATCATAAAAGAAAAAGTAGATGAAGATGAAGGCAATAACGGTCCGGCCGATTGCTTCAGTATTTGTGGTTTCCAAGTAGACTGCTGACAGTACTGTAAAGACTGTAAATGTGACTAGCATACCGATGCAGGAGATTAAATATAACGACCTGCGACCGAGCCTGTCGATGCAGAAAGACCCGATCATGGCAGCGAAGAGATTGAAGATCTGAAGGATGCCATTGATAAGAGTCTTCGTAAAGCTATCCTGAATGCCAACGGTTTCAAGAACCATTGCCAGGTAGTAGGTGATGATACCATTGCCTGACCATTGGGATATAATTGCAGCAAATCCCGCGATTGCCGTGCGCTTCTTATCAGCTGCTGTGTTCCACATCTAGGGCAACCGGCAGTGTTGTTAGCAGAGAGGATACAGGAACCAAGTGTGGTCGGGAACACTTACGACGGACCATCCCATGCGCTCAATCTCAGTGTCTGACTGGATATGAGCCGTGATCAATGCCATCTCATGATGAACCAACGGGTGAGAACTATCTCCCCCGGCGTGATATTTGATTAGAAAAGCGCGCGCTTCGTCCAGCTTGTTTTTGGACACAAGCCAACGCGGCGATTCGGGAACGAAGAAGATCCCAAGTAGCTGCACGAGCGGGAAGAACGCTTGCATGATGGAGGGGATGCGCCAGCTCCAGGTGGACGCGAGAGAGAAGGTGCCAAATGTGATCCAGCTCGAAGCGATCGACCCGACATAGAAGCATGTCTGAAAAAGACCAGTTACCTTGGCTCGATGCGCAGGGTAGGCGATTTCCGTGATAAGCACTGGTGCTGGGACGAGGACGATTTCCACCCCCATGCCTACTATGAAACGTGCGACTATGAAGGTGGCAATGTTCTGCGATGCGCCTTGAATTGCGGCTCCTATTGTCAAGATGACAATGCCAATCACGATGGTATACCGTCGACCAATCTTGTCGGACAACCACGCAGTCGGAAACGCAAGTAGTACCTATTGCCATCGTCAAATGTCAGTAGGTGTATCATGAGTTTTGGTTGAAGTGGCCTCTACTTACACCTCCCAAAAACATGACTGCATTCAAGAGTCCAAGCCAGGTGCCGCTCGGATTGCCGAAATAATTCATCCAGGTATCCAACCCCTGAAGGCCGTTCATCATTGAAGAGTCAAACCCCATTGTCGTTGCAGATAGCAAGACAACGCCGATACAAAGGTTCAATTTTAGAAGATGAGGTGTGAGGTACCACGGCCTAGGGTTCTCCGGCAAGACATCGGCCAACCGGTCTTCCACGTCCCTGAGACCATCCCCCTTGAGGGAGCTCAAGCGTCGTTCCATGATAGTTGTTCGTTGCTGGGGATGGGAGTAAAAGAGACCCGACTGGTGCGTCGGGCAACAATGGCTTGCGCCTACTCCTCGCTTCGTCCAGACCTCTATATATCTAATCCACGAGGACAATGCGTACGTTCCGCAGTGAGGCATGCCAATGAGATTTGTCTTACAAACGCACCAGAGCTTAGCGCTTTCCCACAGATCCCTATTGCCCAGTTTGCCATGGTTTCCGGGGTTCCCCACCCAGTCTCGCGCCACCCCCACACGCACTCAGGGGGATAGACTATGTGGAACCTGCGATGCGGGGTCAACAGCCGAGTGGGGAAAGCGCACAAGGACTCCGGGGGATATGGTGTAGCGTGTTGTGGAATCATAGAACTCGCGCTGATTCGCGTGTGTAGATCCCACGCTAGTGAATAGCGGAATTGCGGCGAGCCGAGACAGTACCGTTCACCCGAAGCAACCACATCCAACCCCAGACCTTTACCCTGCCTCCTTTTTTTTTTGCCCCAACGATGCTGAACAAATGCAGCTAGACTGTGGAGCCACGAATTAGGGTCCAAAGACACTAACTCCCACGGGCTTCATGTTACGTTAGACCGATACAGGTCTAGCCAAGGCCTTCGTGAGATTTCCTCGCCTATCAACACCGAATGATTGTCTTCTAAAAAGTCTCGGTCAGATTCAGCGGCCCGTCGCTTGTCAGAAAGCCGGAAGCGAAGTGTGTGCGGGCGCGAAGCCACACTCTCTAGCACACGTGGCTGGTCCTACCCTTGAGCAACCTGGAATACGCGCCGACCACGGTTTCGCAACTGAGTTTCAACGAGAGCAAGCGACTGACACTGACACTTCCACTCAAGGACCATACATGGCCGAGTTACGCACCAGCCAGCGAGTGCCACTGCGCTGTACAGAATGCGCGCAACGCCGCATCAAATGTGATAAGAAAATCCCTTGCCGCAGATGCATCGCTAACCGCTGCGCCCACCTCTGCGTCCGCGAAGTTGTTCGGGTGAGAGGTAAACCGACTGTGTAAGCAATCTGCGCCAATTCATTCCCCCACCAGCTGTGACCGCTCAACTAACTCCAGTCCTTCAGCGCGGCGCCGATAGAAGATGCCAATGCCTCGCTAGCTCGGCAGAACTCGAGGTTACAGGAGCGGGTGGCTGAGCTCGAGCTCGCTCTAACGTTGAGCTTGCGGGGCCGAGCCGGAGCGCAACGATTCAGCGTCGGTAACGGCTCGCCCAGCAATGACAGGCCAATGCCGACTGCTGGGCATCAGGCTACTGCCTTTGAGGAGGTTGGAGCCATCCTAGATGAGTGGAATCTCGGCCGGCTGAAGCAGGAGAAATTGGGAAAGCCAACTTCGGAAAATGACTTGCACTTCCTTGTCGAGACCCTTAAATCCGTCCCAGATAGCTCGACGAGCACCCGAATCGTCGAGTTCTCCTTGCAGATGTTGGGATGGATCCACTGTGCACTCCGTGCGGACCAATTTCTCATCGAGCACGAAGCTTTCCATAATGCGCTGATAGCCGGCACGCTTGAGGTTCTTCAGGATCACAAGTGGATGGCTATTTACTTCAGTGTCCTGGCAGTACGTCCGAGTCAATCTTGACGCAGGTGGTGACCCCATTTGCTGACCTTAACTCGTAGGTAGGGATATTCTTCATGGCCGATGAGGATACATCATCGCTGAAGTTGCCTGTGGTCGAGCCAAGCCCGTATCCTTTCTCAGTATCATATCACTGGTATTGTGCGGCTTTCCTGCAGCTCGAATATTCCGACGCCATGGGAAAACCGCAGCTGCATGTAGTGCAGGTCGCTGCCATTCTGACGCTTTGCCATTCCCACTTTGGACAAAGATACCGGGACATCAACCTGTCAAGTCTTGCTCAAAATGCTGCCCGTGCGCTGCAGATGCATCGCCTCGGTTCCGAGTCCTCATATCCTATAGACTTGGGGCGTATCCCAGAATGGGCGAATGAAACCGGTCGGGAGCTTGGGCGTCGGCTGTGGTGGACTCTGGTCATATGCGACTGGTAAGACCCCCCTCATGGTTGACCGGGAAGCGGCATATCAGCGTTAACAGACAAGTCTCCAGGTTAGCAGGTCCTCGGTTCCCCGCCTCTATTTCGGCAGATTCATTTGACTGTATTCTTTCCGTAGGACGCTTTGACTACAACGTCATCCTCGGAGGAACTCCACTCTCTGACGGGGTCGTGGTATTCTCTCCTCTTCTTCACCAAATAGAGCTGGCAAAGCTTTCACAGGTGCTCCATGAGTATATTCAAACTTCAAATGAGTCTCCTACAGCACTATGTGAATTCTTTAGCAAGCTAGATGAGCTAGAAGAGGGCTTCGTGTCCAAGGTTGATCATCTGTCGGCGAGTTTCAGCGAAGGTATGAACCTAGGTCAGCAAATGCCGGTGTGGCTTGCGGGGCAGCGGTCTCATTACTTGTGCACGATCAATTTCATTCGATTGATACTGTGCCGGGTTTTGCTGCAGCAAAGTGTTGCCCAGCTCCCCGCTTGGTCCGAGATCCGTTCGAGTGGCATGCGGGCGGCCATGGCGATTGTCTATATGCAGAATGTACCGCCGACATACCAGCTGCTGTGGTAAGCTGCTCCGTCCTCCTCGGCAATTTTCACAGTGTTAAGCTTTGGTGTTAACAATGTCTCGTTCCCAGGGTCTTTGGATCTTCCACAATAGCCGCTGGAGTCTTTCTTTGCCTAGATCTTCTCACTTCCTGCCAGGACAGAACTGAACCCCAGATACAGGAACAGAGAGCTGCGGTGGAAGTTTGCATTTTTTCTCTGCAGAGGTACAGTTATAAAACGACTATCTGCATAGAGGGCTCCAAAACTCTTCGGCGACTCTTGGACTTGGAAATAGCTCAACATGATAGGCCTGTTGACCAAGAGGGTTTGACACGGTTGATCAAGAACATGGCCCGTCTGTCTGAGCAAGAACTGCAAGAGCCTACGGTCAATGGTCCTGGCCACTCTTCATGGCCGCCTTTAACGGCGGAACAAACGGGCGGCGTCATGGGTGCTGAGGTGCCTTCCCTGCGCACGCTTGCATCCTCTCCTGTGCCAGGAATGATCAGCGAATATGATCAACCAGACCCGTATTGGCTCATGGACAGCATCATCTTCCCGGATTATTAGAGACCTGGGCATAAGCCATACGAGAGAAATGATTGGGTGAATGGGTGAATGTTACACAAGAATGGCATATTTTTGTTCTAATATGTTTAAGATGCTATATACGGCTTAATGGACAGAAAGGAGGACTCGACTTTGGCTCAGATCACTGGGAGGATGACGCGACTGGGGTACTGTCCGCCAAAATGGAGAATATGGCTCCCGACATTGTCCTCTCCAGCAATTGGTTTAGGCTTCTCCCCGGCCGCATAATTTTTGAAGAGGGGGTACTGTCCCTGGACTTCGAAACTGAGGCTCTCTCCGGCCTCGTATTCAATACCCATGGCCCACAACCCAATCTGAATCTCGACAATCTCCCCCTTGCTAAGCTTCTCCTCTCGGTCGTGTGTGTGGAATGGGTATTGGTCATGTATGCTCATAGTAGGGTCAATATGGCGACGGGACGCTCTGAGGATGCCAAGCGGGCCAAAATAGAACAAGAGATTGTGGTAATCTTTGGGGTCCACCCCGTCAAATGACTTGGTCGGGGCGTGGCTCCAGGGGATGTTCAAATTGAGCAATGCCTTTCCGTTGCGATCCAGCTTCCGTATGAGGACGTAGATATTCATGTCATCCCAATCATTGGTAGACATATAGAGGACCGCTTTTGGCATTCCTGCGAGTCTCGTGTTCGCAGCAAATGTGTATGTGAATGAAACTTTCTCGAATGTGTCGTTCCTGATTTCCGACCAGTACGATACAGACTGTGTTTCGCTCGGCGCTTTCAGAGAGAGTTTTCCGTTAGGGCCTAGGAAGAAGTCGGTATACTTCGTCCGCGGAATTGGGTAGTCCTCCTCCACAATAGGGTATATTGGGTCATTATCACCGAACCGGAGGAGGGCCAGACGGACCCGAGGTACTTTCTCAAATCCGTTGTCCTTGCCCTTGAGGAATTTATCGAAGAAAGCTGCCAGTTCATCACGAGACTCCTTGTCGGCCCACAGATCGAACCATTCCTGGTAGGGGTCCCATCGCAGCCACTTGTCCTTGGTGTCAACATCTAGCCAACCGCGTATTGAGCCCATTGTGTGTACAAAAGTAGAATAAGACGCCACAATGTAGGTTGGTATGTTAACATTCTTGATGTTGGCACGCTTGTCCTTCCAGTAGGCATTCTGGAGGGGGCTCCGTCGATACATTTCGGCGAAATGCTCGAGTCCATTGTACCCGTGAATAACATTCTGAGTAATGTTGTCGAACAAAGCACTGTCCCAGACACCACCCCGAGCGAATTGCTCTCGGTAGAGGTCTCCGGCAGCTTCCCAGGGAGCAATCGCCTTTAGGGAAGGTGGACTCAAGGCGGCAATGAACCATTGAACAATGCCGAGGTGGGAGTTACCAGCCAGACCAACGTTACCAGAACACCAGGGTAGCTTTGCGATCCCCTCGATCACATCATAGCCGTCTTCCCCTTCCTGAGTGCCCATGATAACAACAGACCCTTCGGAGTCACCAGCTCCGCGAGCATCAACGTTGACGATAGCGTAGCCTTGAGGGACGTACTCGGCCGGGTCAGGACCCTCAAAGCGTTCAAGACCACTCGTCGTGTCCGGAGGAATACCAATCCCCCAGGGAAGCGTCTTCATCACCGTAATGCCATTGAGCTTTTTGCCGAACGGGCTCCATGCTATAATTGCTGGCACTTTCTCATCGGGGCCTGAAGTTGGGGGCCGGTAGACATCACAATAGAGGGTGCAGCCGTCACGCACTTTGATGCCAACATCATGATCGACGAGGATATCGGAAGGCAATGGACGCGCGTTGTGATCATTCCAGCCTTTTGGAAGGACCTCGGAGTGGGGGTTAAATCCCTGGTAGCCATTTCTGCCTACGGTAGGCTTGCTGATAGCGGTCACGCCCAGCTGGACGGGAGGAGGCATGGTGGGAGTGAGGGTGGTTTGAGCAACGGGAAATAGAACTGGCTAGATCGGATAATCGGAGAAACCCTTGCAGCATCAATCGCTCGAGAACGTCCCAGTCACGACTTCTTATACTCGACCAATTCTCCGCATTGTAGTGGCATAACCGACTATGACTACCACCCGGTCGCCTATCGCTGGTGGTGGCGCCGATGTTGTCTAACTCGGCAGAACGATCGTGGCATGCCGATTGGTCCGAGGGCGTGGGCCGGTGGAGATCCGGAGAGGAATCTCGCGCGAGCTCGCGCGAGATTCTCGGGACCACATCTTGTTCCTGGAAGTGGAGCCGTTGAACTCGGGCGAGCTGGCGCGAGAGTCCCCGCAATCCTCATCGCGTCCATGGGCTGTGGCGAACTCGAAAAAGCATTTAAAGCCTCAATCGACACCGAACTACATGTGCTTAGTGTCCACATCAATTCTTTCTTCAAAACAACATAAATATAGCCGAGAACCAGCGGTCCTCCTTCGTTGACTTTCACTTCTATTCGCAAAACTCCTGCTCCCACCGCAAGATGTCGGCTACTCAGACTCTGCCTAGCTTGGCGGCCAACTCGCAGAACAAGTACGGTGACTGGCGGGACGACTTCTTCAAGAACGGTTATTATATCTTCAAGGGCGCCATTTCCAAGGAGAAGGCCACTGAATACTACTACAAGAAGACTCTCGAGTGGTTACAGTCATTTGACAACGGTTTCGACATCAACAACAAGGAGACATGGACAAAGGAGCATCTTCCTCAGAGCTTCAAGAACATGTACATCAACTACTGTGCCGCGCAGGAGAAGTTCATGTGGGATGCCCGCACTGAGCCTAATGTCATCAAACCTTTCTCCGAGCTGTGGGGTACTGACGAACTGATCGTATCTTTCGATGCCTTCAATGTCTCTCTTCCTGGTCGCAAGGATGAGGACTTCCGTCCCTGGCCTCACACCGATCAGGCTCCTGAGCGTAAGGGTCTTGCCTGCGTTCAGGGTCTGCTGAATTTAACCCCCGCCGGTCCCAAGGACGGTGGTCTTTTGCTCACAACCGGCTCCTCCGCCCTCTTCGAAGAATACTTCGAAAATCATCCTATCCGGCCACGCATCAGCAATGACGCCAAGCATTACGACCTGTACCTCTACCAGCAAGAGGACATCGAGTGGTTCAAGTCCAAGGGCTGCCGGGAAATCAAAGTCGAGGCAGAGCCTGGTGACCTGGTCCTTTGGGACTCCCGTACCATTCACCACGTTGCCAAGATCGATACTGAGCAGATTCGAAGCGTCATCTATGTCTGCATGACGCCAAGAGCCCTAGCTACGCCAGAGGACTTAGCTTTGAAGAAGGACATTTTTGAGAAGTATGAGGCCACGACCCATTGGCCCCACTGCAACATCTGGCGCCAGGGCAAAGCGATGATTGATGGAAAGGTGGATCCTCTCGAGCGGGACGAGCCCCTGGAGAAGCCGGTCATCACAGATCAGGTCCTACGCCTCGCTGGTATCAAGCCATACAATGAGTGAAATATTCCCGGACTTGATATCATTGGCTTGTAGTAGATGGTAGTTAGAACTTTTTTCATGGATTCTCCTGAATGTTATATAAACAAGTATGCTACAAAAGATGTTTCTATAATCCTGAGGATATAGCAATTATTTTGAGACTACATTCAACAAGATTTGGTGGAGATTAGTGGAGTTGTATATAATAGAGCATTTGAACTTGAAAATGTGTCTAAGTCCGGTTGTAAGATATAGTATATTGTTTTTCAAAAACTCATACTGTAGCGGGCCAGGGCCCATTTCCCATCACGTGTGTACAAGTGAACTTTCATCTTATTTACAGTGATCTTTACGTTGATTTCCGACTCAACTTGTTACGGCATTTTTGAACAGGAGTTGCAAACCTACCGTGTTTTTCATCGTTGTCGCACCTACTTGGTGTCTGCGAATAATCACTATCGTTTGTCTTGCAATGATGAACACAGCACGTATAGTACGAAGGCCAGTTTTCCACATAATATTTTCAGCAATTCCATATTTTCTTGTATTCCATAATTGATACACGATATTCGTATATGTTCATAAGAAAAGTGCCCATCCCCTAAGTTCGTGCCACAAGTGCATTCTGATCTCAATTGTCCCCAGAGAGCAAGGAAGCAGCTCACAATGGCTATTGTTAAGTCTGTTCCCTCTTTTAGTTCGAAAAAATCAAAGAGCCAGAGAAGATGCCGCCGCAAAACAATGCTCATGAAAAAGGCTTACGAATATAGCAAGAGCATGGCGTAGATGTATGCGTGGGCATTCGTTTGCGAGAGACGGGTCAGGTATATATTTTGATAGCAGATGGTTCGGGATTTTGGGCTTTCCTCGGTTCACAATTGGCATGCTACGAGCCCCGCCACCCACAGAAGAAGCTTCTGACTTTAGAGCACTTACTATCCCATACCAATCTTTATAAGAGACCAAGACTTGGAGAAAGCCAAAGAAGGGACAACCGTCACCGCCAAGTGATGGTGGGTGTACATATGTAGGAGCTGATTTCGGTGAGCGAGTATTGCTCCATCGTATATACTATATAGTATCCTCACACATTTAATAACTCTTGTAATCTATCTATCAGGCCGTTCAATGGCACAAAATCATAACTGCGATAGTTTTTATCAAATCGAAGTGCCTTTGCTGATTGGCAGCGACGACAATGATGCCTTTCCTCGACTCTCAATTTGCTCAATAGTATCGTGAATGGTTTATTGCTCCGGCTGCTTTTCTTTACATCAAGTATTCCAATATGAACTGTTGGGATGGACTTGTTTCGACTAGGCGGTGACCTCATAGACCTGGGTCCTCAAATCTACCCACTGGTGGATCACGAATGCAGGTATATGGCATCTAAGCACTCATGTAGATATATACAACATAAAGTCTTATGGTGGGAATCCTGAGGAAAAGTGAAAGTTTTCGACACTTCTAGATTACGGAAGAGGCAAATTGTGAGCTACATGTGTTCTTGGCAGTACCTAGAGTCCTAGACGTTCTGGGTAAGTCATGGATGAATTCAACTAGTGAGTGTCTTTCTTCCCGTTTTACTGTACTGAATTACGTCATGACTTACCATTTCTTGCCTCAAGTCTACTTTTTGTTGTCTATAAAGGTGTCTCAATGAAGTCTGTCCAAGACAGCTAATGAAACGTCGCCTGTGATTCAAAACTCCAGACATCACAAGATGCTTCTTTTGAACAGATTTATATTGTTGATTTTGTATCTGGCACCACTTTTGGTCGCTGAAATATATCCTGGGCCTTGTCCTCAAAAAGAGGGATCATCAGTTTTACGAATTGGAAATGGTGGCGCCGGACAAACTGGTTTGATCAAGGGTATGTACTTGAATTTCAAAGAAGGTGTACCGGTTTCAACACTAAACAAGGACTTATAGAGCTCGCAAATAGATTTATGGATGATCGGAACAATGAATGCAAGAATCCGTTCCAAATAGAGTGGGTCAAAGGTGACACAACCGAAACTATCAACAACTTGAAAGATGGAAAAGTGGATGTAGGTATTACCTACAGTACAGCTGCAGAGCGACTTGCCATTGAAAATGGCATTGCGGGCGGCTGTAACACATGTTCAGAATGCGAAACATGCAAAGCAAGCAAAACGAGCAATGAGACCATCCACAAGGTGTTCTGTGGAGATGATTGTGATTGCTGCGATCAATGTAACAATTATCCCTGTTACCTATTCCGAGATCACTTCTATCTGGTCGGCCCGAAAGGAAATCTCGAAGGGAAGGATAAAATCGAAGAGAAGGATGGCATTCTCACGACGTTTTCCAAAATATTTTCCGCTGCAGAGAAAAATAGCACTGTGCGTTTTCTCAGTCGTTATGATAAATCTGCTACAAATATCAAAGAGTCAGAGCTCTGGATCCAGATTGGGCAGGTAAGTCTATATATTCTTTGATATATCCAATGAACCCCCCTGAAAAACATTGCTGAAATTGCTTAGGTACCATGGGCAGTTGCCTACTCAAAGTGGTATCATCAATTCATGACCTACCCCCTTGAAGCTTTAAGGGCAGCAATCTTTCTTAAAGAATTCACAATTACTGACCGAGGAGCGTATCTTACCCTCCTTAGCAAGGAAGAATCTCTCAAAGATCAGATAACTATCTACAAAACTGGAGAAAGTGAGCCAAAGCTTCTCAACCCTGCCCATCTTCTTGTTGGGAGTAAAGCCCAAAATGAAACTCTTGCGCAAGACTTTAGTAATTGGGTGAGGAGCCAAGACGGCCAAACAGTCATCGCCAACTTCCACCACCAGGATAATGGGCAGTGCCTGTATAAGCCCTATCCGTCCGTGAATGAAGTACAGCCCTCGAATTGTTCCTTCCTTCCACAAGGCTCTAAAGCCCCTAGTGGAAGGATGGAGCTATAAAAAGGCTTTCAGTAGCTGAACGCTAGCAAAGCAATGAGAAAAAGGACCGTTCACGCGTTCTTTGAGTTCTCATTTCGCTGGAATTCCAGTATTCTTCACTTATGTAACGTCCCATGACGTTTCTATTTGTTTGCTCTTTGATGACATGTCTGAATCTTACGTATTTAGTGCCTTTTTTCGGCAGAATAATTTCAATCTCACAGTTCCTTTATGTTATAAGTCTTGGAATTTCCTCAGAAGACGCGAATTAGCTTAACTTGACCACATAGCTTTGGCGTCTGACCTAATTAACACCCTGAGATTAGTACTCAATTGCACTGCCAACCTCGGACTGAATACCAATAGAAAGTTGAGACTAGATCATTATGAAAGATTTTAACTAGCATTATGCATAATACTGAGATTGAACATGTGTTGTTAAGAAGAGGTCAAAAATAGTAATGTAGGCTAATAACTTAGCGATTCATGCGTCTATTTGGGTGATTCAATGTGAAATAAAGCGAATGAGTATTACCCAGCCCATCATGAGTAATGCCCATAGATAGAATAGGCGGACTGCCTTTTACCAAAAAGCCAAAGACCAATCGTGGACGGGCAATGTCGCAGTCATATGGTTCATCGAGACATGGCCTTCCAGCCATCCCTGAACGGAACCAACAGGCCGCCGCCTACTAAATAGTTCGAAACTGAATCCTCGTGGAGGAATTGCAAATTTAGACAATACGGCCATGAGCAAATGCTAGATTGACTCCTGATTTCTGCAAAGCTGTCTAGCCCTCCTCTTTCGGAAGATGGAAAGAACGCGCGACCGGACCGTTGGGCGACTATCATTTAACAGAAGCTCAGATCAAACTTTGACTATGTTCTCGCCGCGGAGAGCTTCATGTGCTGCGTTTCGCGAAGGCATGCGGGAAAGGCTAGTCAGCACAATCTTTCGGTTGACGAAAGAAATACACACCAAGACAGAATTTTGAGCATCATATTGAATAGTTGTGATCACGATTTGGTCTCCTTGTCAGTAACCTGCCGAACAATGTCCTTACGCTGGCTTGAGTGAACCACCGAATTTGCGCCAATTATACAGATTGCGGTCAAACTTACTTATAATTCAGATTGGTGATTTGACAGAATACCGATTGTTTGTACTGGTAGGTCATGTTTCTCTTCAAAAGCCGTGCTGAGCAAAAGGAGAGCAACTTCTACGCGACTCTAGATGCAGTATAAGAGCAGACAGTAAAGAATCATTTTGAAGCATATCAAGTAGTATGGAGATAGAAGAAAAAGACAGGTGAGAAGAGAAGAGAAGCTTCTCAACATTATCATGAGGCTAGTCCGTCACTCGACCTGTCAACAGGACCTAACCCTTCCAATGAAACCATGGTAACCTAGCAACTTGGAGGAGAAACAGGCATAGAAAACCACTATGCACTACGGCAGGACAGGCACTAGGCGCTAGTCGAGCCAGCAACAACATACTGCTTTTCCGTTTTGAGTTTGCTTAGGGTACTATTACTCAAATTCAGGGTGTCCTTCACAATTTGTTTCGGGGTGGATGCGATCCATTGACCAAGAGCCATATCTATTGAATCATGAGTAATAAGCCCGGTGATCAGAAGAAAAGGGTCAATGGACAAATCACGTACCAGTGAATTGGGGTGCTTGAAGCACCTCCACGAACATTAAATCCTCGTCGCCAGTGTTCTCGATATAGTGACTGTTTGACTGAGGGAAATACGCAACATCACCAGCCCGGTAATCAAACGTGGTTGCAGTGTCAGGTGCCGAGAACAATGTCGCGCGGCCTTGGCCTTGAATGAAGAAAGTCCACTCATCGCTGGTCGGGTGCCAATGGATTTCCCGCATGCCACCAGGGTGCACGGTGACAATAGCAGCAGAGAAGTTATTGGCAATCGGAAAAGTGAGAGGATCCACGATCTTGACTGACCCACCAGCTACTTCGTGCGCGGCCTGCTCAGAGAAATGGTATGAATAGCTTTCGGTTCGGGGAATAACACCGGATTGAGTCGTAACGTTTTGCTTCTCGATATCTGCTGGCGCTGGGGTACCTTCGAAAATGTAAAGCTCACCGTCTGGAATATCATCGAAGGCCGAGATGGAGACACCGAGGTTCTTCGCTAGAACCGATTTCTGTGTGATGCGCAAGACTCAAGTCAGTCAGCGCCATGATTTTTGCTGGGCATATGGAATGATAGATCTTACGGGGGTATGAAGGAACACCTCTGTGGCTAGGAAGGTATTATCCTCGTCAAAGTCACCCTGATCAAAAACAAGCAAGAACTCAACACCATCATCTAGCGCTTGAATTGAGTGAGGAATTCCTCTAAGAAGTATGTCAGTTGAATTTCAAGGTGTTAATGCCAACACCATTCGTGTTGTTGACAAGGGTACAATGACATACGGTGGGAAAAACCAAACATCACCTGCAGAAAGGTCATCCACAAATGTCTGTCCATTCTCGTTGACTGCCTATCAAATTAACTTAGTTAGATGACTTACAAAGATAAAACACTGCATACATAGTGTGAATGAGAAACTTACCTGAATACGACAAGAGCCATTCAACACTAGAGACCACTCTCCAGCGACGTGCCAGTGCAGCTCACGGTAACCACCGGGTTCTAGACGCATATCAACCCCAGCCATCGCAGTTGCATCTGGCATCACCACCGTATTTTCCTGGCGAGCCCATCCAGCATTATCAATACCAAGTCTAGCTCAGGTGGTCAGCTTGTCATTTTCAGGTTTGCGTTAAGATTCCGTACCGGTTATGGCTGAGACCTGTTTTGACCAGTCAGAACTTAGGGTCAGAGCTTCAAAATAGTAACGCTCGCTTAGCTTACCCATGGGCCATTGGGCGTTAATAGTCTGACCGTTATCGGTGCCAGGGGGTGCCAGCTTGTCGCTGTTGATTCGGTCATAGGCATAGTTCCCTAAAACGGATGTCAGCCGCAAAGATTCAAGTGAATAGTTGGTAACGCAACCATACGGGGGCCAGGATCATCGCTGCCTGTGGAGCCTCGAATGGGCTGGGGATTGTCGACTTTCTCAAAGTCCAGATATGCACCGATATCCGGGCTGACCGTCTGACCGGGAAGAAGACTGTATTTGATATCCGGTTGAGTTCCGCTGGCGCTCTTTTCAGTGGAAGAGTACCCGACAAGTGCCTCCGATCCTCTCAAAGGAGGGTTACTGCTCCTTCGGGCTGGTGCTGCATCAACTGCAGAGAAAGGAGCAAGAAGTAGGCACAAAGTCCAAGAGTAAATCTGGGGCCTCATTGTGAGCAAAGGGTCCTCTACCGAAGTGGAAACGAAATAGAATGGTGACACTTTGGGTCTATCGTAGATGCCGTTTGTCAGTGCAACCAGAAGCCCTTTTATAATCGGATCTCGACGGAGCCTTGCTACTTATCACTGTAAATAAACTTGCTTCATTGATTCCCCTCATAAAACTTACCTTGGTAGGGCTCGGAGATTACTTCAGTGGGGTCATGTCAATCTATCCCCTCACCAGGCAAAATTCATTGGTCTCGAGCTGCAGTATAGTATAGCCTCCAATTAGGACCGCCTATAATTCGCTCACACCTGTGGACTGCTCAAAGAATACTCCAAAAAGAGGGGTAGCATAGTACGTACAACTCGAAATAATGTAGATCGAAACTTGACAGCGTAGTATGTTCTCCGCACTTACGAGGACAGAAAAAGCAATGGTACCTTCTGGCTCAAGACATCGACTGCCCTGTGGATAATCAACTTTTGCTTTTAATAGCCGTGTTCTCCAAGGTAGCAATACCGCAATGCTTAGCTTTCGTAGCCAAAGCTTGGCTTGAGCATTCTTAAATGCTCGCATGTCTCATTTTTCATAGGAAGGAATATAATTTGTTTTTATTTATCTACAGCAATTACAACTTTGCAATCATAGGTTGAAGTCTCTGTAATATAAAGTCAACTCTGAAACTACCTGGTATATCTTTTCGGAGGTTCTTTCTAGAACAGGAAACGAGCTCGCTGCTCATTACAGTGGGCCCGGACATCCATCTGAGTCTTCTACGGTCCCCGGTGGGTCTTCAAGAAGCTTAACCTCATACTGTATTAAGCACCCCTCACTCCCTCTTGACACGTCATTAGAATAATAAATCTACATAATATGAAACCGGGTCATGTAAAGTCCGCGGCGGTTTCCCCTTTCCTTGCTTAGCCGATGGCGTCTGGAATCCTGATCAACACCTCCATGTTCACATTGGCACATTGCTTTCAGCCCGGGAATCCCTCCGTAGGCATGGGTCGTAATTGTTCAATCACGGCTTGTCTCCGCATCTATAAATATAGCTCAATTCTTTCATTATAAACATTGTGGATTGGAAGAAAGCTCACCTGGCCCTGATTGCTGATTGCGATACCATAATCATGGAAACATACAGAATCATGAATCTTGATTCATGCCGCATGTGGCTTCAGAGTAAAGTGGGACCATAGAACTTTCGCGACTCCATGACAAAGTAAGGGGATATTTCTTCACTCGTCGTCATCGCCTTTGACTCCTCGTGAGGGGACTCGAGGGGTTGAGGTAGCCTTACAAGGTGTGGCCGATGGTTTCGAGCCAATCATCTTGTCCTCCGTGGTGATGGAGAGACTTGCCCGGCGATGGACGGGATATCGCGAAACCTCGCTTGGAATGGAAGGAGGGGCTCTATGGGGGCTAAGCTCGATGTTCACGGGTGGAGCGGAAGCGATCCCGCCATTCAAACACCACAGGTCTCATTTGATGCCGCTCGCTCCCTTATAAGAATAAGTTTGAAGCTTGCATGGGCCTCGCATGTGGAGTGTAGGTCGAAGCAATTTTACCATTGGATCTCATGTTGTATAAGTGGGTTAAATATAGAAAAAGCTTACCGTTGTGGCTGTTACCCCGCGCAACTTCGAGAGTCTGAGAGCAAAGGCCGCATGACCAACTCCGACTTCGGAAAGTAGATGGATTCTCAAATCTCAAATTGAGCAAAATTGGAGTTTTTCACCTTGGAAGCATGAATGATTCATGAGTGTTGTTTCTCGTGTTTTTTGGCCGAACCGTCATGGGTCGTTTGCTCGCCTATTACGAGAACCTTGGTGGTGGAAGCTAAGCTATTTGGACAACCAGTGGCGATATTTCGATGGAGATGCCGCGCAGGCGGCCCCACTAAACGGGCCTGCTGCAGCGTACTACAAATGGCTCATACACTTAGGTGATGAAAGATCGAGGGAGGTGCATAGTAAGTTATTCATGTACTATTTAGATTCGGACCGTTATAAGTGGGACCAGCCAGGCGTGTAGCAGCATGGTGAGACTGTCACTCAGTCCGTATCAATACCGGGAGCCGAAATTGCGGCGTATTACCAAAAATAAATCAAAATCAAAGTACAACTACAACTCAGAATCCTTTTCGACCTTTGGCAGGAAACAAACATCATGTGGTCGTCCGCCTTCAACATGGGCAAAGGTGACTCATCCGTTGTTGATCTTGTCTAGCATGGGTTGGTGGATCTGGACACAGTTTCACCAGAGCTACTTATATTGAGGAAGACAATAGACCCAAAGACTCCGAAAAGAATCAATGCTCCCTCTAATCGATCTGCCAGTACTCTCAAGTGATGGGTTTCTGAGTAACTCCAGTGGGCCATGCAGGATTGAATCAGAATGATTTATACTTAAGCTTCCCTTCCAAGGAACTCCTCTGATTAGGTAAGTCTCAACGAGTTACTGAAAAAGTTTCTCTTGGTGTCAATTGTAAAAATTTGGTCTGGATGAGGGTTCATATTCGTGTGTTGTTGTTTGTGGTGAATCAGGTAACCGAGAGGGACCATCGATGAATTGTTTCCATTGTTCCCGTCCGCGCAACAAAATGATAGAAGAGGACCCGAGGAGACTCGCACCTGAAGCGAGGCAATGAAAAGAGGAAGCACACCAGTAGTGGTGGGCGAATAATATCAGGGCAAACTGAAAACAACTGCAAGTGAGAGCGAGAAGGGAAGAAAGGAAAAACAAGATGAACACCGATCTATGGATACACGAAGGGCGTCACCTGGTCTCTCAATAAATCTTTCTCTTTGGTGAATATGACTCGTTTTTACATGTTTGATTTGTCTCATGAGTCAGAGTCAGAGATCAATGGTACAGTATGCAATTATCATAGTTGTCGACCAGAAGGACTATGTTGTTGCTGTTTCCCGCCATAATTCCATCAATCTAATGCCCTTAATTTTCTGCCTGTCGATTTTGGTGTTCAATTGTGAGTCGACATCTCAGGCTTAGCACAATCAGCTGGAAATAACACGAGGTAGCCTCCTCAATCACATTCGCCATGGCTTCACCTGAGTGGAAGAAATCAAGCGTAGACGCGGACGCAGACCTCAGAACCTCGTCAATCTTTCTCATCACCATCATTGATAGAACATGAGACAAAGTTTCAGAGTCCGTCTTCAGGTCCACTCGCATCACAGGACATTTTGGGACCCAACTTACTACACTGATCCTGGAGTGCCGGGACCGAATGAACCTTCCCATTGGTATCTAGACTCAGGCCACCAAGCGCCTCGGCTGCTATTTCTACGCACGCCACTGCTTTGGCTCTGTCTAACCTAGCCAAGCGAAGCACGTTTTCACTATGGATGGCAAAATCTCACACGTGGAGTACGAAAGCAGCTCGGTTGCGGAATTGATTTTGGACCGTTGTTATCGAAGGTCAATCCGGCTTCATGAACATGCTCTAGGAGTTCGATCAATTATATCCATCCGGGTCATCCTTATGGAAATATTTTACCCCAATGGATGCTGCCCTGCGAAATCCTTTCAATGGTACACTTCTGGCATCAACACGCGCCGGTGCAGTTCCAGTTCGAGGTGGTGTTGGATTTCTCCAAATCACATGCGCCAGATGGCTGGAATCAGGGGCTCATGGGAACCCTTTCGACCTTGGTCAGGCTGTTTATTGCGGGATCCAGGACCCGCAGTCCGGCTGATGCGGGTCAATCCCGAGTCATGGAGGATATAGAGTCATGACGTCAGAGGATGTGAGCTTCTTTCCTCACTCCTACGAAGTGTACATCTCAAGTGAGTGAGATTCTCCTTTCTCAACAGGAAAAGTGATCGATTGCTGACTGGATTGATTGTTTGTGGGGATGAAAAATGGGAGCTCGGCATTCTCGGAATCGTCGTTGCGCACCGAGTACTCCTTTCCGACTGTATCCGGTCAGCCACGTCGACCTCTCACGTCCACATGGCAAATGCACCACCGTTACTGGGACTGGTTCAAAATCACTTCAGAGATACATGTATGAAATTTACGGCAAATTTCTTCTATTTTGTTTGCGAGGTCGAGATGTCTCATTGGATTCAAATGACAAACCAGATATCCCAGTCTTGAGAGTCGCAGTACGGTGAATATCGACACTGTACTGCGACTTGAAAACACTGACAAACCTTTGTTTGTACCTAGAGTTTGCGACCGTAGTGGAATTAGATTTCTTACCAGCAATTGATGCGTCTTATGCCACAATAAACTCGACTCAACTTCTCAAGTCTTGGGGGCTGGAACGGGGCGTTTCAGCCCCCAAATTAGCGTTGATGCATCACATACCGTCGAATCACTAGTAATGATAAGAACGAGATACTGCTTTGCTTGTTCTCAGTGTCAGCTAGACTCACATCAACGGGAGCATTACTTCTTCAAGTGCGCAATGAATGTACCAAGACTGTTTCTCTTCGACCTTTGACCGACTGCTTTATCCAACCCGAGGCTTGTACCCCCGTTGAGAAAGAATCCTGCAGAGTGGCTCCTTGAAGTCACAGCTTCCTCGGTGAATTTGAAACACTGGCATGAGATTTGAAAAATAGCAAAGTACAGTCGATAGCGGAAACAGCTTCTACCCTACTAATCACTTTTCTTTTCTCAGGTCCCACTGGCAAGGGACTAGTGTATGGCTTCTGCTCCACCGCCATTCAAAAATAGAAAGAATCTTTGAATATGACGATACAAATACAATGCGATACAAACAGTTTACAAAACGACTGTCTTCCTATTACAGCTTTTGTAAGAATCCCTAGCATAGGTGCGATAGAACGACAGATCTGGTTTGTGAAGGGGCAGAAATAGGTCTCAAGATGCCGCGAAGGGGCTTCATTATTGCATTTATATCCAGGGGATTTTGCATGCACAGTGTTTGACAGTATGTATGCTCATATCCTGTCAGAAGTATAGTGATGTGTACAACAAGAATCATGGCACTGCAATCGAGATAGGAAAAGGATCAAGACATCAAGCTGATCATTACAGTACAGTACTGCACAATAGCAACTACTCAAACTACGTGTTCCGGAGGTCCCAAGGCCGGTGGGGGCTTTGGACTTATACTGTAAAAGAGGGCGAGGTATGTCGACTAATTCGCAACCAGATGTACTAGAAAGTTTTTGCGATATTATCGTCTGCTATGACAAGCGCATAGGAGGGCATTTCCATAATCTTCACCTTGAGGATTGGCCTCGGCTCCATTCTTCAGCAGAAATTGCATGATTTTATCATGTCCTTCATATGAGGCAGCTTGGAGGGCATTTCCATAATGTCCACCTTGGGCGTTGACCTCCGCTCCATTCTGCAGCAGCAATTGCACGATCTCATTGTGTCCTTTAGAAGATGCAGCTTGAAGTGCATTTCCGTACATTCCACCTTGAGCGTTGACATCGGCTCCATTCTCCAGCAGCATCTGTACAATCTTGTCATATCCTGCATCAGAGGCAGCTTGGAGGGCATTTCCGTACCTTCCACCTTGGGCATTAACCTCGGCTCCATTCTCCAGCAGCAACTGCACGATCTTATCGTATCCCTCAGAAGATGCAGCTTGAAGGGCATTTCCATACTCTTCATCTGGGGCGTTGACATCAGCTCCATTCTCCAGGAGCAATTGCATGACTTTATCATGTCCCTCAGAAGATGCAGCTTGAAGGGCATTCCCGTATACTCCACCTTGAGCGTTGACATCAGCTCCTTTCTCCAACAGAATCTGCGCAATCTTGTCATATCCACCACTAGAGGCAGCTTGAAGGGCATTTCCATACTCTTCATCTGGGGCGTTGACATCGGCTCCATTCTCCAGGAGCAATTGCATGACTTTATCATGTCCTTCATATGAGGCAGCTTGGAGGGCATTTCCATAATGTCCACCTTGGGCGTTGACCTTGGCTCCATTCTGCTGCAGCAATTGCACGATCTCATCGTGTCCTTTAGAAGACGCAGCTTGAAGGGCATTTCCGTATATTCCACCTTGGGCGTTGACATCGCTTCCATTCTCCAGCAGCAACTGCACGATCTTATCGTGACCTCTATAGGAGGCAGCTTGAAGGGCACTTCCATAATGTCCACCTTGGGCGTTGACATCGTCTCCATTCTCCAGCAGTAACTGCACGACCTTATCGTGACCTCGATAAGAGGCAGCTTGAAGGGCACTTCCATACTCTCCATCTTGAGAATTGAATTCGGCTCCATTCTCTAGCAGCAACTGAACGACCTTATCGTGACCTCGATAAGAGGCAGCTTGAAGGGCAATTCCATAATCTCCATCTTGAGAATTGAATTTGGCTCCATTCTCTAGCAGCAACTGAACGACCTTATCGTGTCCTTTAGAAGACGCAGCTTGAAGGGCATTTCCATACTTTCCACCTTGGGCGTTGACATCGGCTCCTTTCTCCAGCAGCAGCTCCACGACCTTATCGTGACCTCTATAAGAGGCAGCTTGAAGGGCGCTTCCATACTCTCCATATTGAGAATTGACTTCGGCTCCTTTCTCCAGCAGCATCTGCGCAATCTTGTCATATCCACCACTAGAGGCAGCTTGAAGGGCATTTCCATACTCTTCATCTGGGGCGTTGACATCGGCTCCATTCTCCAGGAGCAATTGCATGACTTTATCATGTCCTTCATATGAGGCAGCTTGGAGGGCATTTCCATAATGTCCACCTTGGGCGTTGACCTCCGCTCCATTCTGCAGCAGCAATTGCACGATCTCATTGTGTCCTTTAGAAGATGCAGCTTGAAGTGCATTTCCATACTTTCCACCTTGGGCGTTGACATCGGCTCCTTTCTCCAGCAGCAGCTCCACGACCTTATCGTGACCTCTATAAGAGGCAGCTTGAAGGGCACTTCCATAATGTCCACCTTGGGCGTTGACATTGGCTCCATTCTCCAGGAGCAATTGCATGACCTTATCGTGACCTCGATAAGAGGCAGCTTGAAGGGCACTTCCATACTCTCCATCTTGAGAATTGAATTCGGCTCCATTCTCTAGCAGCAACTGAACGACCTTATCGTGACCTCGATAAGAGGCAGCTTGAAGGGCACTTCCATACTCTCCATCTTGAGAATTGACTTCGGCTCCATTCTCCAGCAGTAACTGAACGACCTTATCGTGACCTCTATAAGATGCAGCTTGAAGGGCATTTCCATACTTTCCACCTTGGGCGTTAACACCAGCTCCTTTCTCCAGAAGCAGCTCCACGGTCTTATCGTCACCTCTATAAGAGGCAGCTTGAAGGATATTCCCGTACCCTCTATCTTGAGCATTGGCATCGGCTCCTTTCTCCAGCAGCAACTGAACGACCTTAGCGTGACCTCGATAAGAGGCAGCTTGAAGGGCATCTCCATACTCTCCACCTTGACGGTTAACATCGGCTCCTTTCTCCAGCAGCAACGGAACGATCTGATCGTGACCTCGATAAGAGGCAGCTTGAAGGGCGTTTCTATACTTTCCACTTTGGGCGTTGACATCGGCTCCTTTCTCCAGCAGCAGCTCCACGACCTTATCGTGACCTCTATAAGAGGCAGCTTGAAGGGCGCTTCCATACTCTCCATATTGAGAATTGACTTCGGCTCCTTTCTCCAGCAGCAGCTCCACAACCTTATCGTGACCTCTATAAGAGGCAGCTTGAAGGGCATTTCCATACTCTCCACCTTGACGGTTGACATCGGCTCCTTTCTCCAGCAGCAGCTCCACAACCTTATCGTGACCTCTATAAGAGGCAGCTTGAATGGCACTTCCATAATGTCCACCTTGGGCGTTGACATCACCTCCATTCTCCAGCAGCAACTGCACGATCTTATCGTGACCTCTATAAGATGCAGCTTGAATGGCACTTCCATAATGTCCACCTTGGGCGTTGACATCACCTCCATTCTCCAGCAGCAACTGCACGATCTTATCGTGACCTCTATAAGATGCAGCTTGAAGGGCATTTCCATATTTTCCACCTTGGGAGTTGACCTCGGCTCCTTTCTCTAAAAGCAACCGCACGGTCTTGTCATAACCAACCTGTGAAGCCAAGATGACAGGGTAGGTACCGGTACTATCTGTCGTATTGATATCCTTTTCCCCACAAGACAATAGCAATTCAATCTCCCGATCATGCCCGTTAAATGATGCTAGATGTAAGGGACTCATTGTTGGTGGAGGTCCACCGTTGTTGATAGACTTCCAGAAAATAGCAAACCACAATAAAAATCGTTTTCTGCTCATATTGTATACTCGATGAACTTGATCAGCTGCTTCCTGATCTTGGGTCAAACTCATCTCCCGCTTGTGATCCGCCCAGTATAATGCTGAATACTCTAAAAAGCTTCGAATATTAGAGCATGAATCCTCATCGTCGTGTTCCAGATCCTCCATCAATAGGTATCGCAAACAGATTGCAGCCATTTGATCCTCGGTATCAGTTAGGGTCCACGAGTATAGGTAGTTGACACTGTTGGAACTACTCTTTCTAACGAGAAATTCCCTTGCTGTCTGATGAATAAAGTAGATCTTGAAGTTACTAATGAAAACAAAAAGGCCACATAATCGACGTAGCTTTTTGTCTATCTGGGAGGATTCAAGAGTAGCCTTTGCTGCTTTCCGGCATTGTGGGGAGATAGCTATACCGAGTGCCATGGCCATTTCCACTGTTGTTAAAGGGCGCCGTGCTGCCACAACAATTTGTAAGATCTTCCTCACAGTGTCTACTTGACCAAGGGGCACTCGGCTAAGAATCTTCTCGTATGCCTCATCAACTGATCGAGGTATTAACTGAATTGGCTCCTCAGCAGGGCGAAGGCTATGCTCGAGTGTAGATCGAATATCGTCAATGGCTAAGTGTAGCCAGAGATACGTACGGTGCTCCAATTGTAGAAGCTGCTGCTCGAGTCGCTGCTCTGTGTCCCGTGGCAATGCCACTGTTTCAGCGAGCTCTCTTACTCGCATCTTCACAACAAGATCAATTTCTCCGCGGATTTGTTCATTTTCTTCCTCTCCTTTCAGATGGAGATGTGGGAAAGAGTCCGTGATCCCTTGGAACCGACTCTGGATGTCGTCATATGGGCGACTAGTGACCAGGAATTTCAACCAGGTATCCTGTGTCAGCGGACGTGGCAGGCGGTGAAACGACTGGAGCTTCTCGATTAGTCGATTCTGATCAATCTCGCGGCATTCATCAAGCGCATCAAATATGCAAATTGTCTTGCATGATTCATCTGACGATGCGGCGATTGTAAAAATTCTCCATAGTTCGTCAACTTCTTGTCGGAGATTCTCCCCATTCTGTTCCCAGGAGGGTATGGCATAGCGCAATAGCTGAGGCCGCTGGCTAAAAAGCTGGTGAAGTACTGAGCATAATGCTATGGCAAGATGATTCTGTTGGTCATTGTCCTTAAAGAAAAAGTAACAAATCGTCACTTCTAGACAAGGATCTTCTAAGCGGCCGTCGATTATTGATCGGGAAAGCACAGATTTCCCGCAGCCTGGGTCAGCAGACACCCAGAGAAGATCGTTACAGCTACTGTCCGACCAACGGGTGTATTCAGGGCTCTGCAGAGCCCATAGACAGGTTCCTTCCACTTTTTTAGGATTGATGTTCTTTTGCTCCTCGTAAGTTGATATCTTAAATATTTGGTGACAGCGGTGTTGCTGATCTGTCAAAACAAATGCAACCTTCTCACGATGATGTTGTTCTTGTTGATTGTATGACTGGTCTAGGCGTTGATTTGTGCCTTTAATTTCGGTCTTCAATCTGTCTACACAGAGCCACATAAGTTATTCATTCTTCATTCGGAACTAACCCAGCTAGGTCTTATTTCACTTACTGCAAATATCTTCTACCAAGCTCTCTTGTGATACATGGCCAACTGGAATATACTCCAGTAGCTCTTTTGTATATGCAGCAGCAGCTAAGGCAGCATATCCATGCCATTCCTTGTTCTTATGCGAGTCAGCATAATCACAAATACCGCGGATGACAATACATGGAAAGTCCAGCATCAGACCAGCTGCCTCCATTTCAAAGCACAATGTCCCGGTCTCTGAACGAAGTTGCTCCCTTGTCCGCCCGTGCTTGATGACATTATTGCCAGAAGCAATGATACCATAGTGGGGCTGTGGATCACTATCCTCCCGTTCATCTCTTATTTCTTCCCACTCCGCTAGACAGTTATCACAGTTGCTTATATTGGCAGGGTGATCATATTGCGTCTTGAAAAGTCGATCGGATTGTACAGCAGGCCGGCTAAAATTCTTCCGAGTTCGAGCAGTTCTTCCGATTGCACTTTGGAGAAACTCCAGGTAGCGGGGATCATCCGTCAGGCTGGCGGCTCTCATGGTGCCAACTGCGGTCAATATTGCCCTCGGCGGACTGTTCAACGAACCAGTGCGTTCGAATTCGCCACCTGCAATAATCTTGCCCATATCATATTGAATCACCCCACCACAAGTGCCTTGGGGATAACTAATGACGACATCGCCGAGTCGAATATCATGAGCAGCGGAAGGAACTCCACCCCCGATACCGACCATCAATCCGATTCGAAGCGACTTAGAGAAGGTGCGAAGCATGTTGTTTGCGGCCGTAGTGGCTGAGGTAGTTCCGTACTGGCCTCCAGGGAGGCAGGCGATCACGACGTGGTGTTTGCCGATTCGGCCCAGTGTGTAGGTATTTGAGTCCGCTGCATCTTGCTCCTCAAGAATCCCGAATTTCTCATTAAACATTTCAGTAGCAGCCGCAGCCTCAATCGGAAGGGCACAGATCCAGCCGATTTGGAAGGCATCTCGTGGAGGACGGGCCATGTAGAAGGCTAGCGTGGTTTTGCGAAAAGCACGGTTGTTTGGCGATGAGGATTAGAAAAAGTTGAATAAGAACAGAGGTTGATGACTCCTGTGCGGGGCCGCCACGAGAAAAGAGCCCCGTCACCAGCTACAGAATCTCAGCCCGGGCTGAGGGGAGGAGCGTAGCGCGGCAACAGAGCAGCTGCTATTGGAGAAAGCCAACAGCCAGCTAGGGTGTGTCGCACGTGACAGCATGGTCCGTGACCAGCAATGCCGTGGCACTGCGAAGTTTAATCAGAACGAGTGGGTTGAACAGCGTCAGTGGTAGAAATATGGCACCTAGACTTGACGCATGGCGACTCGAACTCATTCGTGACATGATCCAAGACCCTTAACCGTATATTAACGCACAGATTGCCGAGGCTGCCCATTATACCCCACGATCAGTCAGCACTATCCGCTTGAACTGTTACGACACGTCTATAGAAGAGCCATACAAGAGACAGAGAATAGGAGTATAAGCGCATGAGAACACTCCTATATGCTACTACCAGCTGGAGATGCTAGAGAAAGGTTATTCCGATATGTTCGGGTAACTGATTAGATAAGCCGCATAACAGAAGTAGGCTCACGGGAGAGATCCAGGGGAGCTCTCCAGTGATTATATTATCAATATACCAACAGCACTATGTGGGCTGCAGTTCGTGTCATCACTCGTATCCAATCCAACCATATAAGGCCATGCCTTAACACGAACCTACGATGCTTTAGAAGTGCCAGGGCGCTGGCTAACGGTATCAGCAGACGACGAACGATTACCCTACCTATGATCGAAGCTCTCTCTGAGCGTCTCATTAAAAAGCCGGATCTCTATCAGGATGAGATAGTGGTATTCCTATGGGTAGGCTGCGCCATAACCCATCTAACCCATAACCCGACCCGAACCCAACCCGTAATTGGGGCGGGTTCGGGTTGGTGTTCTCAACCCACACATGGGTTATGGGTTGAAGGTCTGAACCCAACCCGAACCCACATAACCCGACCCGACCCATTTTTAGTGCAAACAGTGCAAACATAAATTATGCAAAATTATGCATGTTTTGCTCTTGAAATAAGGTACTTCTACTTAGTAAATTTAGTATATAAATGATAATATATAGTTAAAATCATCTAATATTATAGTATATAAGATAAGATATAGAAAAGTACTATATTTAGTAAAATTAAGTATACTACGTAGGCTATAGAAAAAATGGTGCATCTGCCTTCTGTGAAATATATATATCTTTAATATTACTTTAAATATAGCCCCCACTTATCGAATTTAGTAAATATAAGGTTATATAAGGTAAACAAGTCATAAAGATAGCTTATATTATAATAATTTATCAGTAGAAAAGGGTATATAGCCTATAAAAAGGTAAGAAAATTCGTATTAAGAAATACAAGTGTATAATTAGTAAGAATTTTATGTATGCCAAGACCTTGATTATATACAAAAATGGGTTGAAATGGGTTATAAATGGGTTTTCAAATTAGAATTTATAACCCATTGGGTTGGGTTCGGGTTCAAGCTCATAACCCATAACCCGCGTGCGGGTCGGGTTCGGGTTGAAGTTTGTAACCCATTTGCGGGTTATGGCGCAGACTAATCGTACTATACATGGACGGTTCCCACGGTCAGTAAGTTACGGGCCGCGCGATGGGTCCTGAGCAGCCAATCATTTTGCATTACCATAGTCACTTGCATTATTCAATACCCAAGTGCACCCCCAACGAAAGGGTAAAGAAAACAAATGTGTGATATTCCGTAATTATAATACCGTAAGCCTACTATCTTATACCGAGCATTACCTTGGGTGGTTATTACCGTAACGTTGGCAGTTAGATAATTTTACGCGCTAATGCCTTGGCAGTGGGGCCTGAGAAAACAAAAGCAGGCGTCAGGGTAGAAGCTGTTTCCGCTATCGACTGTAGTCGAAATACCAAAGCTCGAAAGTTCCATGACGGAGAAAGCACAGTGATCAGATTCGCCTGAAACTACGAAAAAATACGATTACGCAACCTCAGGCCAGACACCTTTGTGCGTGTTGACTTGCCGGATGCTCCAGACATCCCGGCGAGAACCAAATTATCTTTACTGAAATGGCCTTGAGTGTCGGCTCAGTGAGGTGGTGGTTTCTCTAATTCCTCGAGCCATAGATCCATATTTGGCATTTGATCTGACGTTCGTGTCTCAGGAACTCTTCAACGGCCTCCCCTTTAAGGTGTTTGGCTACAGGGTCCATACATTTAGGGAATTTCCACTCCATCATGGCGTGTCAGGAATACTGGGCAAGATTTTTGATGGTAAAAACCCAGGTTAGCTTCGTATGAGGTGACCGTAAAGCTGTAGGACAAGTCTGATTTCAGAGCTCGAAAAGAATCATTCATTAAACGACGTATTATAATCCACACGTGTAAGTTCTCAGCTGTATAGATCTCTCATCGCATTGACACTAAAATAAAAATTCGAACGCCACAGACAATGTTCCAGAACATTTGACCTTGGCATCACACCTCATTGGTTATTCTAGGAGGAAGTGCTGCTGGCCGCAGTGGAAGAGCTGCTGGCTGCAGTAGAAGAGCTACCTCCCGAGCTCATGGGGGTGCTGCTAGCCATGGCAGAAGAGCTACCTGCGGCACTCGAGGGAGTGATGGTGGCGACCAAAGGTCCAATATTCTCGGTTCCGCAAGGGCTGCTAGGGGCTTTGAGACAGCCTCCGAGGAATTGTCCCAGGCTACCGGTGGAGTTGGTGGTGGACAGAACCTGGTTGGGACCGTATGCCGAGACCAAGGATGTCGTGTTCGAAGCAAAGAGTGTGGAGTTCACACGGCCTCCGATCAGAGTAGCGTGAGCGCTGTGCTCAGCAGCCAGACGAGCCAGCAGGAAAGAAACCTCGGGGGACTGAGTGTAGCCAGCCAGGCCGATGAAAGCACCAGTGAGAGTGGACTCAAATCGGTAGCTCCACTGAGCCCAGGCAGATGGGCCGCTGACAGTGGGATAGGTGTAGTCGCATTGAAGCGCCTTGAATCCCGGGGCTTTGGCGCCAACCTTCTCGATAGCTTGGATGCCGAGTTGGTTGTCCTTCTCAACGCCGAGGAGAACGCGTTGATAGGCGACAATGCTGGCGTTGCTCGAGGTGGGAGAGAAGGTCGAGTTGACGGTGTTGTTGTAGAATCCACTGAGGAAATCCGAGATCCCCCAGGCAAGTTCGAGCACTTTCGCGTCACCAGACGAGGGCGCACAGCTGGAGTTTGCAGCGGATACGACAGTGATACCGGCCAGGATGAGGCCACTCAAGTTGATGAAGCGCATCTTGATTCTAATCTGGAAAAAGGAAATTTGCCAATCGCTCCTGTTCTAAAAGTAGATGGTAACTTGAAAAGTAGAAGATGATCTGCGTCGCTCATGCGTACTGTGAAAGCGTTTTAAAGCAACCAAAACTCGCCCTTCCGGGGCCCACATGTCCTCGAGTCATGACAACTGCGCAAGATGAATGCGGCAAGACTTTGAGAGCCCATATCAAGTATTCTCTTCTAGGTACCAAGAGTGTGCTTCACGGTAACGTCAAAGAGAACTCAATCTTGGACCTCTCAGCAGTGAGTTTCGATGCCGATTCTGGCGCTCAATGGTATTCGTTGATTGTCTGGCGATGACGTGGACCACTGAGAGCTCGGGATAATTTCCAATTCCATGATCAAAGTTTTGAGGATCTTGAAGCTTACGTGTGGATTGATGAACCTTAATGGCGAAGTGTGCTGTTCGGGAGCCGCGGGACTCGGGCCAAGGCGGGATCATCGCGTCGTAGACTGAACCTTAAATCGTCGCGTAACGGGTTTTCTTCAAGCACGTCGTCATACTTGATCGAACATGCAGTTATAGCCAGGCTTGATTCATGTCGCATTCACAGTGATTCAGCTTTTAGTCATGAGTCTAAGCGGGCGTAAAGTGCAATTCAACCAAACACATGTTTCCCAGGTGCCCCTTTGTACCAAACAATCCACAGTGTCCTTCGTCGCACGCCGAACATTCAGAAATATACTCCGTAGTCACAGTCCAATGATATCGAATCAAATGATGGGCATGATTGATGCTGATTCCCTTCTCTGCTTTTTCAGAAATCTAGAAACTTTTCGTGAGTGCAGGAAGCAGGCTCGGTCGCATATCCAACCTTATCATTCTTCCATGTGTCTCTGTGTGCACATCTGTGTGCACATCTGTGTGCACAGTCAGATTGAAGACCAGGTACATACGTAAGGTAGCTATGACGTGACAAGGCAGGGGCAAAAACCGACGGTATGGAGAGAAGGGAGAACGAGATCTCACATCCATGAAGCCCTCGTTGAAACGCCGAGGTCTCCGGAGCGCAAGAGTCGCAGTTAGTGTGCCTGTGCTGCAGTCATTTTGTGCTCAATTTCCTATCTGACTATCAACGCAAATCGCTTCATTGTGACCCTCCTTTTGCTTTGATCATATCTCTGCTCCTTTTAAAGGCGCTCGTTCGTCACCTGGCCTGTAACACTTGAGGTGCAGCACAATCCTAATTATATCATCGTTGCATTTTGTAATCCTGCAACAATCAATCGAGAAACGGTTATAAGCAAGTAATAGGGATTACAAGTCAAGTTTAACAATCAATGTAACCGAGCACAACCGGAAACAAACGTAATTCAATTCATATAATTGTATATGGCGTGGGTGTATGGGGGTGATACTCATTGTCGAACCTAGAGAGTCCCGGAATTGATCTACACTGCTGGAATCGCGACCAGTCAACTTACCACAATGACTTTCATAATCAATTTACGTCTCCATCCCTTGCCCTTTATTTTGTTTTCGGAAGTAACTCATCATTGAGTCAGCAACATTGCTGTTCCTCTTGCCGACCGCAGCAAGCAGACACTACAACCAGTGAACCAGCAAGTCAAGTAGCTTCAGCACCAACCTTGGAAAGCTCCCAGTTTCTCAAATGCAGTATGAGAAAATTTTTGCTTATTTTCGCCGGTCGCCCCTTTCATCAAACTCACCTCTCTCTAACCTACCGCCTCTGGGGATGGTTTTGGCTTAGGACTTGTTGATTATGCTGCTGCAAGATGAGGAGCCCGTCGGAGACGATCACGGGGCGGACAGTATGGAGGACATCCGAAGAAATTATTTGTTCTGTGCTGGAAAGAGAGACCTCCCAGGGAAGCTATGTCGCTCTCAACTGCCCGATGCAGTGCCGACCGCGTGGGTGAAAACTCGCCCCCGGCGAGTCTCATCCATGAGCTCTGATTGAGGGCGACTGACCTGGTGGGGCCTAGGTCTGTCAGAGTGTAGGTTGGCAGTGGGGAATACGGCTGTCTGCGGGAGATGTTGGATTTGGGAAGGGTTGGTCAAGATGATCGGCTTCTTCGGGTGGGGTGCACCTCAGTGGCGTGGGAATTGTTTGTCGCACAAAGCCGCGCGTGCAGCGGAGAAGAACTGAGGAGTGGAAGCGAGCGGCTGAGTACTATTGCGACGAGTAAATGAGTCTCTTTCTCGTTTCTGTTGCAGTCTTTCTGTTCGACCCCATGAATGTGGGTCCTGAGACGGAGATAAGGTCGGGCCGGAGAGTCATGAACGATAAGGATGATAGATAAGAGCAATAGATCAAGATAAGGAAGCTTCCATGAGGACGCGGCTCTCAAACACGAGACAGTGGTGTAAGAGACTACATGTGCTTCTTTGGCGCCTCGTCTCCCTTGTCGGGCACCCGTTCAAACGAATCTCTCCCACATCTGTACACTCCATCATCATAAGACAATCAATGACGGGAAAAAGATTGGTCAAGCCACTGAAAATTGCAAAGGAGCGTATTTTCAGCATGAATCGTCTGACCTCGGCCATTGAAAAATTAACCGATGGCGTATTCCTTTAATGTCTGCAGTGAGTATGAGCCAAAATTTACGACTGACGAAGATGAAGTCTCTATGGATTCACGTTGAATTTTCGTTAATGGTAAGCGCAACATTGCCGGACGTGGCTTGACCCTTGATCAGGACACCATAAGGGCTCGGAACGCTGGAGGCACACGACGGGTGCTCATTTGGTGATTGCGCAAATCAGCGTCAAAAGATATGCAACATTGCGGGCTGTGACGGAAGTGGAATCCATAGACCGAATATTAGGAATTCTATTTTTGGCGCCGAAGAGGGCTTTTTCAATGAATTTGGATACACACTTGTAAAGAAGCTATGCATGTGTAAAGCTTTATTACATCTGGTGGGGGCGAGAGAAGAGGCTGGTCATGATTAACAACAAAGCACATAATCGGCCCCCAAAGTGATCTCCACCCAAATCTCCCTCATTGACACCGAGAGATCGCAGGATTTCACTTCGTTGCTCCTCCCGAACTTCCAACCCAGACTGAATTCAATCTCCCGCAGTGACCAGAGAGCTGTGCTTGATTAGTGGTGGGAAACAGCCTCTTCTATCCATTTCCCAATTTCCCACCCTTTCTGCTTAATACACATTGACCTTTCACACCTTCAATTGGCTTGAGCTCTTCATACCAACTGCTCAACTCTATCATGAGCTTCAGCATCCTTGGATGGGAGAGCCTTGCAAGCCGCATAGCGGTTGCAATTGCAACGGTCTGCCTCATTTCCTTCGTTTACCGACTCATCAAAATGCGATTATTATTCTACCACCTGAGAAAGAAAGGATTGGTATGCATCACACGGCTGCTACGTCAATCATCGTCATATACTGATAGATATTTGCAGCCGACTCCCCCTTGGAACCCCGTGTTAGGGAATCTCCCCGTCATGGCCGAGTTACAGAAGAAAGGGCCGAGCGATACCCGCCAAGCCGAATCATTTGCTCTTCTTTCCACTGAGACTCCCGGATTAGAGGCCGGGTTCTACATTGATGTTTGGCCCTTTAGCTGCCCGATGCTAGTTGTGACGTCTCCAACAATGGCAATTGAAGCGTGTCAGACCTATGATCTCCCCAAGCCAGATGTTCTCCAGCAGTATATCAACCCAATGGCCGGGGGTTCAGACAACTTATTCGTCTCTAATGGTGCGCACTGGAAGAAGGCACGAGAACTCTTTAATCATGGATTCAGCATGACTGATTCCTTGAGTCATGTGAGTGGCATTCTTGAAGAGGCCGAAGTCTTTGTGAAGATGCTCAACATCCACGCACAAACGGGGGACATCTTTTCACTTGACCAACTGACGTGCCGTTATGTGATGGATATTATCGGAAACGTCGCATTGTCAGTATCCTTTAACCAGTCGAGAAAATTGGTCTTTTGATTAACTCGGAGTTATAGAAACACGCGTTTCAACCATCTAGAGCAACATAACCCAATTGCCGCAGCGATGCGAGATACCATCGAATTGGAATGTGGCATCGAGGCAGGCAACTTCTTGGAACGGTGGAGTCCGCGTCGATTATACCGACAGTGGCAGAATGGACGAACCATGAATCACCTCATCGGGGTTGAACTTGAGAAACGTTTCCAAGAATGGAAACAAAACGAAGCCAAGTCCTTGACCTTTTGCTCAAAGTCAATTATGGATATTGTCATTTCAGAGTATATGAAATCAAGGCCTCGAGAGCAGCAACACCTTGATCCAAAATTCAAATCCTGGGCCACAATTCAAATGCGTCTGTTCCTGTTTGTCGGTCACGATTCAGAAGCTGCCACAATCATATAATCTTTGTATCTCCTATCCAAATATCCCGAGATCCTCTCCAAAGTTCGGGCCGAACATGATAGTGTGTTTGGCGCCGGCGCATCAAGTGCGTGCCAAGTGCTGAGAGAACGTCCTCAGACAATCAACCAACTCCCCTACACTCACGCCATCGTCAAAGAGACTCTCCGACTCTTCCCGCCCGCCAACGGACTCAGAGGCGGTCTTCCCCACGTTTCTCTCCGCGACGAACATGGGAGATCCTTCCCCACTGAAGGGTGTGCAATTTGGATTGTACACACTGCTGTTCATCGCAACCCGGCATTTTGGCCTGAACCGCACTCCTTCATCCCCGAACGTTGGCTTGTCGAGCAAGGCCATCCCTTGTATCCTCCAGCGGGAGGATGGAGACCGTTCGAGCACGGCCCGCGCAACTGCATTGGCCAAAATCTCTCTCTTCTTGGGATTATAACCACGCTTGCTATGGTTGTGCGCCAATTTGATTTCCACGATGCGTATGCCGAATATGATGGTCTGAATCCATCAGATGGCATCAAGACAATGTTTGGAGAACGTGCTTATATGATTCAAAAGGGGTCTGGTCATCCCGCCCAGGGCTTTCCTTGTAAGGTTACAGTGGTACCACAGACTGGACAGAAAGAAGCTTGACATACGTGATGGTCTTACACATCTGCGTGGGAACATGATAGAACAAACTCAATGTTTGGTAAGAACGTCTCATTTGTGCCAATTCATTATACCATAGGCGTTTCAGGAAAAACAAAACCATTCCCAAATAATTCTCCAAATTCTATCTTGAGAGTGCAATACAGGATCTGGAATGGGCGTCCCATCAACCAAACTACAATTTTAATCGATCGGAAGATTTCACTGGGCTCGGTTTGACATACTTGTTTCCATGCTTGGCTTCTCTTCCCCTGTATTTGACCACGCCCCCTTCGTTAGCTTCATTCCACGGTGAGAAAGTTGTCCTCGCTTTGCCTTTTGAGAATTTTGGCGTGCAATATTGTCAGATGGTCTACACTGTTGTCTTTGCAAATCATTCTCGGAGCAGTTGAGACCCTGTTCTGCCTCTCTCTCCACTGTTTATTTCCGCATGCTCCAGAGGAACCACCGCATTTGCCGCTCCGGAAACATCCTATCTCAGCTCCATTGCATTTATCAATTGCCTAACCCAGGCATTCCTTATCTAAGAAGAAGCACAGCCGGTTTTCATTTAACCCACTGGTAGATAACAGATCTTGGGGATCGTGGAAATATCTTGCAAAGACTCACAGGAGCTCGGGACAGAATGTAACTCAGTCATTCATAGTTGCAGACTTTGAAAGTCCCAAGTCACTCGTAGGCTTGGATAGGGGCATCTTCAGGCTGATGGAGTAATTGGGTCTTTCTTCGTTCGCCGAATCGGCAGGGGCTGGCGCAGTCGACGCATCGTATGAGAGGCGTTGTAGGAGACATCGTGAAGGTTCTCCAAATTGAGGTCACTGAAACCTGGCTTTAGTGAAATTTCTCTCAGAAACGGGTCCCTCAAGGCTTTTTGAGGCCTCGATTGAGTTTAAGTTAGCTTTCGTCTTTTATCAATCTTCCATTTCTCAAATGTCCTCAATAGTCACCCTCGGGGCCAAGTGATGATTTATTCTCACAATAGAGACAGAAGACGAAGCGCAAGCTGTATGAAGAGGAACTCGAGAAGTCAGCTGGAGTCATCAGAGTGAAGGGAGCTCCTTTTAGTACATCTCTCATCTCTTTTCATCTGCAAAGTACTTCATTCCTGACTGCAGCAATCTTTTGTTACTGGAACTCCCCCTCATTTCTGAAGACTTCCCTTCAGCTGCTCTTTCTTGTTCTTCTCTCAAAATTCTTCTGGACTAGGATTGGCAAAATATCAATGGGTTATGGGCGGAACAGCATTAAAGCTGAATCAGAAGGTTCCGAGTCATCGCCGGAGCTACTTTCTTATTTTTGCCAGAGGATCCACGTCTTGGGAGGTGTCATGACACTTGCATACTTATCTTAATCTTCCAAGGCTAGCCTCATTTCTCTATTCAAGATGTCAGAGATCTTTAACGCTTAGCGCTATTTCGGATTATGGCAAAAGCAAACACCAAGAGAAACAAAGAAGAAAAGAAGATGTTAGCTAATCCGGCTCTTAGATGTCCTGAGCACCCGGGACAACCTAGTGAAATATATGATTCAGTACCAGAAAACTCAGTAAGCAATGCTGTCATCAGCATTTGATCATGCTCCTGCGCAACCAATTTATAGCCACCGATTGAGGCACAAACTCGAGAGGATATGTCGAGGTCAAGCAGTCAAACAAATTGCCAAGGTGCGGAGCATTTATAACTTATAATGTATTGCAGAAAAGGAAAACCGACGATGGATTACAAGCAACTGACTCTTTCAGAACAGTATGAGTTAATTTGTGATATCCAGTCATCAAAATACAATGCAAGTCCGTATTGAAAATCCACACTGCCATTGAACAAAGCAATTTTCGCACGCGATGTAGAAATTCGGACACCTTTGGAATATTATGCGCCGAAAGTTCTTATATCTTGAATCTAACAATGAGACTAACCTTGGAGTAGTAAGTGTGCATGCAAGTGTCATGACGCGTTCACAAGCTTGATTTACTGAGTGGGAAGTTGAAGGCTATACCCATTCTTGAAGTGGTATCACAATGATTGGCGTTGAATGCAGCGCTTTGGCATTTCCTTACAGTAATTTGACTGAGACGTACTCATTTATCTGGAAATAAAGTCAGACGTTGCTCTCATTATAATTTCAGTGTGTGCTTCTTTGGCATTCGAATTGGCCACCGGATATCGCATATGAGGAGAAAGCGTAAAGTTATCCGGCTGCCAAGACATGGAGAAGTCAGAACCTTGAACAACAGCGAGCGCTTCGAAGTTAGCGCCTTCACGAGTCACCTGATGGGGAGCTAAGATCCCTTGGGGGAAACTCAGTCTCAATTGGACCAAGAAACCAAGAATCAAACACTACGCACGGCGGGTGAACTATGACTTCTGCATCTTTTGGAACTGCAAATTCGGGATTCCAGGTGGGGGTCAATCAAGGGTCGATATACCTTTCACAAGGTGAGTCTCCCAAGACCTGACAAATTCAGGAGAAACCAAGGCTGACTACCGGCGCTTCTCCTTAGAGCGGTCGGAACCCCGCTTAGAGCCTCTGTCGACGGTCCCGTTTCAGCGCGATCCAGACTTTGTTCGTCGCGATGCACTCTTCGATCAAATCCACGAAAAGGCCTCGATTCCAGGATCTAGAACAGTACTCGTCGGCCTTGGTGGCGTTGGGTCCGGGCCACTCACAGCCTTAAATCCCGCCTGCCCAATGCTGACAATGTAGTAGGAAAACGCAGCTTGCCAGCGAATACTGCCACTGGGTGCGACAACAGTCTCCGGAGACGTGGGCTTTTTGGGTTCATGCGAGTAACGTGGCCCGCTGTGAGAAAAGTCTCCGGGATCTTGCCGATCGGGTCGAGATTCCCGAGCGAGGCGACCGCAATGCGAATATATTCCAACTAGTCAGGAATTGGCTGCAAGACAAGCGGTTGGGCAAATGGATTCTCATTCTCGATAATGTCGATGATGACGAGCTCCTCTGCAAACCTTTGGTAACAGGTACGGAGACCCGAACAAGCGACCAGAGAAGTCCATCGACGCAGCCACCACTAAGATACCTCCTCGAAAACTCAAATGGCTCTATTATTATCACAAGTCGGAGTAAAGGAGTCGCAATGAGCATTGCTGGTCCGAGGAATCTCATTGAGGTCCTACCAATGGAAGAAGCCGAAGCGCTGGACCTGTTTCAGAAAAAGGCAGATATACCTGCAGAGCGTGAAGATATGGTGCCACTGGTGAAGGCACTTGAATTTATGCCACTCGCGATCGTACAGGCAGCCGCCTACATCACGCATCGTGCACCTCGATGTTCAATTTCCCAATACCTTGAAAAATTGCAGAAGAGTGATCGCGAAGCAATACGGCTGCTTAATCACGAAGCAGGTCTTCTTCACCGAGACTGGGAAGCCAGCAATTCCATCCTCCTTACGTGGCAAATCTCCTTTGAGCATATCCATGATGTAAGACCTTCTGCGATAGACTTTCTTTCTCTCATGAGCTTCTTCGATTGCCAAGGGATTCCTGAGAGAATTCTCCGAGTCCAGCAAAGCCAGGAAATCTTGATGGTTACAAATCCTGGGGGAAAAGACAATAACTCCAGTGAAGAGGATATGGGCAGCATCTCTGACTCTGACACGGAGCAGTCATTTGATGATGATATTAGCATACTAATGGACTTTTCATTCATCTCAATCAGCGAGCAAAAGCAGAATCAAGTGCTCACAGTGCATCGGCTAATGCAATTGACTATGCGAGCATGGTTGAAAACACATGGCCAGCTAGAGAAGTGGAGGAAAATATTCATCAACAAACTATATTATGAATTCCCGACCGGGCAGTACGAAAACTGGGAAATTTGCCGGTCGCTCTTCCCACATGTGCGATCAGCTCTTTCCAATCGCCCTGAATCACTAGAGTCTCTGGAACAATGGGCAACGCTGCTCTACAGGGGCGCTGGGTACGCACTAGAAAGCGGGAACTTAAAGGACGCGACAGAAATGGCACTAAAGTCAAAAAATCAGAGATTGAATTTCTTTGGTACAGAAGATCAAAGGACCCTCCAGACTACTAATTTGCTAGCAGCGGCATACCGGGACGAGGGGCGGTGGCAGGAGGCTGAGCAGCTTCTTGTGCAGGTTATCGAGACTCGCAAGACCAAGCTCCGTGAGAATCATCCTGACATATTATCTAGTATGGCCAATCTTGCATCTATATATAGGGAGCAGGGCCGGTGGAAGGAGGCCGAGCTGCTCCAAATGGAGGTGATGAAGACCCGTAAGACCAAGCTTAGTGAGGATCATCCCGACACACTTACGAGTATGGCCAATCTTGCATCAATATATTGGAACCAAGGCCGGTGGGAGGAAGCTGAGCAGCTCGAGGCGCAGGTGCTGGAGACTCGCAGGACCAAGCTCGGCGAAGATCATCCTGACACACTATCGAGTATAGCCAACCTTGCCTCCACGTATAGAGAGCAGGGCCGGTGGGATGAGGCCGAGCAGCTCGAGGTGAAAGTGATAGAGACTCGTAAGACCAAGCTCGGTGAGAAACATCCTGACACACTATCGAGCATGGCCAATCTCGCGTCGACATATTGGAACCAGGGCCGGTGGGAGGAGGCTGCGCGGGTCGATGTGCAGGTGATGGAGACGAGCAAAACCAAGCTCGGCGAAGATCATCCCTTTACACTGACGAGTATGGCCAACCTGTCGTCGACGTATAGAAAACAGGGACGGTGGAAAGAGGCTGAGCAGCTCCAAGTGCAGGTGATGACGAATCGCAGGACCAAGCTCGGCGAGAATCATCCCGACACACTATCGAGTATGGCCAATCTTGCATGGACGTATAGGGAAGAAGGCCGATGGAAAGAAGCCGAGCTGCTCCAAGCGAAGGTGATGGAGACTCGCAGAACCAAGCTCGGTGAAGATCATCCTGACACATTATCGAGTATGGCCAATCTTGCGTCGACGTATTGGAGCCAGGGTCGGTGGAAGGAAGCCGAGC